TCATCATTATCGCTCTTGAGGATATAGAGTGTATTTTAGAGTTCACTATTGGAAGATATGAGTGATCTGTGGTCAGGTCTTTCATCTCAATGGCAGTTGTCTTTGATTGCTGGTATAAGTTCATTGATACTGTTATTGCTGTTGTTATTGTGCTGCCTGTGTTGTTGTCGACGAAGCAAGAATACAAAAAATAATCAGCGAACATCTGCAAATATCAAGAAAAATGGCAATTTACACTCTTGTAATGGATCATCTATTGCGAATAGGTTTGTTTTCATTTCTTTTTTGGAACAATTATAGTAATCAGACTGGAGTGTATATTGAAATTTGACCAGTCTGGGTCATTGGTGAGTGAAAGTAAGCCAGAAAAGTGTTCACAATTGATGTGTGCCAAACAAATGATGTTTTCAGTGCAATGAACAGTGCATACTATCGTAAACTGAACGGTATTTCAACGCCAATAACTGCACCTCAACCCAATGGGTGTGCGGCTTTTGAGTTATCTTCGCTGCTGACATCAAATAATAACAATAATAATACCGGATCCACATTCATCCAACACCAAGCAATACCGTCAGCGTCAACTTATGCACAATACAGTCCAAGACCCTCTACCGAACCACCTCTCGAACCGTACCAAATCCCCGAAATACAACCTAATCAGGTTTACAGCTCGCTCTCATTTCTGTGAAACTTTGGTGTTTTGCAGTACTTTAACAAGTGATTTAGTTGCGAGATTCATACAGCTTTAGATCAATTATCTACAATAATTGATCTGCTGCATTCATATAATTGTAAAATTTCAGTTGCAAATAGGTGAGTTGATTGGAGAGGGTCAGTTCGGTGTAGTACATAGTGGTAATTGGCACGGCTCATTGATTAGTGGTGAACCTCTGCAGGTATGTTTTAAAAGTTATTTATTGAAACAATGGGTTTTAATTGGTTTGGGTTTTAATTGTATTGATATTACAGATAGCAATAAAATGTTTGAAAACAACGAACAATAAAGCGGATCGATCGAATTTTGAAGAGGAAATACGTACGATAGCTTCGTTTGAGCATCCGAATGTGATACGTTTATTGGGAGTGTGTTATTTCGATTCGCAGCAGATCAGTGCCATTTTCGATTATATGATTCATGGAGATCTGCACGAATTCTTGAGGTTGAGGGCACCGAAATCTGTCGGGTTCGTGGTTGTTTTTTTTATTTGTTTGTTTTTATTGTTCGTGTAAAGAACGACGTGCATATCCACGTTGGGCAGATCCCGGATGGTAATACTGCACTCGCAGATGCTCTATTGGTCAACGACATTTTAAAGCGAAGCTTTTGTATGGATGAATCGCTTTTGCTAGAACAGTGTTACCACTTTTGTTAAAAAATGGTCTATTATTTTAGCTAGCAAATCGCTTTTGCTAAAAAAATGATGACCTATTGATAATGATCAATATGATCAATGATCAATAACTGATAATGATCAGTTAAAAATTATGATCAATATTACCACGTATAAATTTCAGTGTAACTGTGTTATTTTCAGTTATGACCAATCAGTTGATGAAGAACGAATCGCTGCAGATACTGAAGACTTCTTGAGGATTGCTGTACAGGTGAGACTGCGTTTATGTTTGATTGATTGCAGTTGCATTGATTGTGGTGAGGATGAGGAGATTATTGGTTGAATTCGATTGCAGATTGCATCTGGGATGGCTTATCTGGCGGATTTGAGTTATGTACATCGCGATTTAGCAACACGAAATTGTTTGGTTGGTGATCAGCGTATAATCAAGATTTGTGATTTTGGTGGGATGAAGAGTTGTTATGAGAAGGATTATTATAAGGTTGGTTCGTTTTCATCTCATTCGATTTGGTTTTGCAAGTGAATGGTGTATCGATATGTTAAGATATAATGTTTAGACGGTGCATCGATCATGGATTCCGGTTAGATGGTTGTCGAAAGAGGTGATTCAACAAGGCCGTTACACAGAAGCAAGTGATGTTTGGGCGTTTGGAGTGACCCTTTGGGAGATTTATTCTTACGGCAAACAGCCATATGAAGGCTATTCGAATAGCGAGGTTATCGAGCTGATATCGATGCGTTCTTTGCTGGAATGCCCACAGAATTGTCCGACGAACATCTACAGGTTTTTGACTTTGTTCATTCATTCATGTTAGCAATGATTTTAGCTCCTAGAGCATTTCCTAGGAGACATTTACGGATTAGTAATTGAAAATATGAAGAGTAAATTGACTAGTTTCAGTATGATGATAGAATGCTGGCATGAACATGCAGAACGTCGACCGACATTCTCTGAGTTGCATAGCCGTCTGCAGACATGGTCGTTGACTTCAACTATAACGGGGCATAACAATCGAGCGAACAGCACGCATTCTGGTTGGTTGATTTCGTATTATTTCGTTGTTATCGTTATGTGTTTTTTCGTTTTTTCTTTGAAATGAGTTGTTTTTCAACGTTTACAGTGAGCGATTCTTAAGACATTAGCTTAAGAATCGCTTACCTCCTCTGTATTTCACTCACAGTGTGCTTAAGGTATTAGATGACTGCGGAGTATTTTTTGAAGGTCGTGAACGATGAAGTTGTTCACTTTGTGAGAACTTGCACAGCTCTCTGTTGTTGAGAAACAACCGACTGATTGGTCGTCACTATTTAAAGGATCGAGTGCAGCGAACCGTGGTAGTAAGCAGTCATCGTCAGGTCAAAGTTCATCGATAATTCGTCAAGGAGGTGGTGCAATGAATGGAGGTACAACCTCAGCAGGTACGGCTCAAAGTCTGAGCACCGCCGGCTTTTCGGTACCGTCTCCAGCTCCGATGCAAACAATGATGACTCTGAATGGCGTACATCCGTATCATACAAACGGCAACACTACGAATGCTGGGCAACAAATTGGTATGAACTTTATTCATCTGTTTTTTACTGTTAACGATTTCGTTTATTCTGTTTTTTGATTGATTGTATTTTAAGTTGAGTTCTTGTTGTGTTCATGCAGCAGTTGTTCATGTGAATGATAAGGTGAAGTGGAAGTTCGATTGAGAAAATGATGCGATTTGACTAATGCTCTCTGTCGTTTCCAGGTGGTCCATCGACAAACTTGGGTCGATCGCCTCCGAAAACAGGCCGAGCGAATCGATCGGATTCCTCGCCTCTGATGCACCATCGCCAGATCGCAACGAATGGTACGAATGGAAACAATAATTACTATACAGAAGACGATGATGTGGGTAGTGAAGAATCAGATTAATTTATTGGGTGAACGGTTCACTAAATTGTGAGACCGACTAATTTATTAATTAAGCTTACTCACTGACCTCATATCACAACTTATCTCATCTCATCCCTCTCAAGCACTTTCAAGTGAGTGTTTGAGTGCTGCTGTTCAAAGTAATGTTATTGTGCTGTGTGTGTGTTTTTGCGCGTGTATTATAGTTTATTAATGGAAAACACACTTGATTATTCATATGAATAGCATTTGATCTCAGTTATATTATGATTGCAAAAGAACTGATTGAACACGACGTATAATAATTCATCCAGGGCATTAATTTTAACTGACCTCTTTGATGATCATCCGTTGAGCTTATCGTGCTGAATCGTCGTTTCATAGATTCAGTTTCGTTGACATTGTGCTTATAACCGATATGTGCTTAATCTTTAAACAATCCTTGATTATATATCTAGTTTTATATTGTAAAATATGCTGACCAATGGCGATGTTGGAATGCAGGGTTATTCATTATTATTGTTCATCGTCTATTGTATTATTTAAATGATCATCTCCCCACTTCTGTTTCTCTCTTACTTAAACCGATTGATTCATTTACATTTATATTCAGTACTTATCTACTGCCTTATCTCTTATTATTCAATCAACTTCAAATTATTATCAATAAGAACTCTTCATTACTGTTACAGTTTTGTTTTGCTGTTATATGTGAATATTATTATTTGTTATTGGTTGATTGTTTGATCTGTCGTCATTATTGTTGTTGATATTATTAAATGTATCAATAATATTCATCTTTACAGCTAATAAATGAATATCTCATCTCATCATTAAACAACAGACAACTCATAACTCTCATTTATAACTAACCGCATTTTTTTAGTAGGTAATGGTACTGAATTTGTATCTGAAATGATTATAGAATTAACGTGTCTCGATACTGATCGTGAGTATTTGTTTTGCTTTGTGCAGAACTCGTGCACAGTGGAACGCAACAATTATGAATATTAGCTTGTTAGTATCGTAGCATGGCTACAATAGGTACTAATTTCGATGAAACAACCCCAACGAAGACGAGAAGCTCAACCAAAAGCCGAGACATCTTCAGATATCACCACTCTTAACAAGCGCAAGTTTATATGAGATGTGGTGTGAAAAGGTTGACAAGTTAAAGTTACTTAATAGATATTTGATTAGTGAGTAACTGTAGAGTGGAATAACTGCAGGAGGAATTCGTTGTTTGAGTAAAAGATTTGTAGGAATTGTCTGGAGAAGTAAGAAAGTTTTGAAACGAGTTCATCGCATTAACTTGAGTCTTTTCTGCATAAGAAACACTTCTACTTTGGTATTTCTTTTCATTCGAGTACATCGATTGCTTGTTCAATTGCTATTCAATTATTACTGGTCTGCACTTCAACTCCATACATCTTACAATTAGTTTCATTCCCTCGTTCGAATAGCTCCCATGGAACTTTCATCAATACGCGTTATTATTCTTATTGTAACCATTTTACAGTTAATTCATTCAACAAGTTCAGGTATGTAATCAGATGATAGATTTCTGGGTCATACGCTTCAATATGCGTATGATTCCGTAATGAGCAAATGCCCCAAACATGCTATAATCATTACATGAATAATCGTATTCACCTGATATAAACAACTCCGAATCTTTTATTCAGTTCGAGAATGTTTGTTATGACTTCATCTATTTGTAAAACATCCACAATCTTTAGATGGGAGTACTTTCTTCCTTAGATATTTGTTCATAACTCTACCATGCGTTTTATTGTTTATGTTGGCCAGGAACCCTAAAATAAGTCATAAGAGAAGTTTATTTTTTCAGAAACCCCATTGTGGTGTCATCAAGGAGGTGATAAAAAATCATATAAACCAGTCGAGTGTGACTCAGATACAATGGAGTGTTATAAATTCATTTGTGATGACGGTCAATGTAGGTTTTAGGTATATTGTGTGTTTTTGAATTATTGCTTTTATTGCGTTTTTTAAATTATTTTTATTTTTGAATTTTATTGATGCGATCAATAATGTTAATATGATCACATTCAGGGCCGTTCGTCGTTAGAGGATGTGGAATTTCATCGAGAAATCTTCAAGAATTGAGCAGGAATCTGAGCTGTTTGCAAGCGAACTCGCAGTGTTCATATTTGGGTGGTGTGGGAAAGTGCCTGAGATGTAGCAATAAACACATGTGCAACGACTCATTATCAACAACGATACATTACCATTCGCTATCACTATTATTGCTTTTTATCGCAGTTTTTGATGCGATCACACGGCATGATTCGATCTGATGTGGCACCTTCAAGGTAGAAGGCAATTATAGTAGAAAGTTGTTCATTTTTCGTGTGTATCGCTCGATTGACTGAAAATGATGTTTGATAACTTCATTAAAACCTTAAACGTGGTTTAATGTTAATCTGTTCAGTCGTCTCACGTAATCTCACAGTTCGAGGCTGTCTTGAACTGTAATGCATGCCACATATTAGCTGCTGTATGTCAAAGCCGCGCTACTATCATAGAGGAAGCTTTACAAAACATAACTGTGCTCAGTTCTCTTTTTTTTGCGAAAAATGTTTTTAGCAATTTAAATTATTGGGACAGAACATAGATTACTAGTATTGCTAATATTATTACAGTTATTAGTGTTATCACCGTTATAATCTCGTGGTATTATTATTATTGTTACGTGTTTGATGATTGTTTTTTTATTGTAAAAATTATTGTCACTAATCATTATTCAGTTCTATTATTATTAGTAGTAATTGTTATTTTTAATGTTATGTAATGCTTAACTTCAATAAACTTTTCACAAATTCTCTATATTCATTACAAAATAAAAAGTTATTTTATTCAACCATCAACTGATTTTCTGGTGATACGTTAAACTGCTTGAGCCGTTCTGTACTATCGTCAAACTCTGCACAGTATTGCTGTATGATTGATCTCACTGGAGTTGGTCACTCCAGTGAGATCAATCATACAGCAATACTGAAATATTACGAGTACTGTTTTCAAACTACCCATTCCCTCAAACTTCCCCAGGAATGCCATAGTTTCTTGTCACAGTTGAAGTAAAGAGATTCACAGTATTAGTTTTGAGATAGCTTCAAGAAAATTGCGATATCTCCTCATGAGAGCGGAATTATTCAGCAAAGTATATAATATTCTGAATCAAAAATTGATATGTTACTGGGCAAACCTGAGAGCACCGGTAGCTTGAAGATGGTGACCTCTATAGAGCTATAGTAGCGTATTAATGTTGATCTATAATGATAGAATGTATATGAATAAGCGCCTTTGCGCTTGTTGTTGAGATAGCTTTAAGAAAATAACTATATCTCCTCAATTAAACAAGACTGCTCGACAAAACATATGTTTTTCTGAATCTAGAGGTTCATTGAAATCGAATGGTGCACAGAAATTGATATGTTACTGGGCAAAGCTGAGAGTACGGTAGGCTTGAAGGTGGCATCCGTATGGTCTAGAGATAGCATTAAAAAAACAGCTATATCTCCTCAAGTAAGTTTTTTCCTCAACAAAATTATGTTTTTGTGAATCTAGAGGTTCCGCTGGATCGAATGGTGTAAAAAAATTGATATGTTACTCGGCAAACTGAGTGTACGGTAGGCTTGAAGACGGTAACCCTATAGCCTTGAGATAGCTTTCAGAAAATTGCAGTATCTCCTCAAGTGAGCAAAATTGCTCGACAAAATATATAATGTTCTGAATCTAGAGGTTCTGAGGGATCATTTGGTGTAGAGAAATTCATATGTTACTGGGCAAACCTGAAAGTACCCGTAGCTTGAAGATGGTAACCCCTATAGTGCTATAGTATTGTATACATTGATCTAAAATGATGCAATATATATGAACGAGCGCCACCGCACTATTTTTGATAGCTTTAAAAAAATAGCTATACCTCCTCAAGTAAACAAAATTGCTCAACAAAATATATGTTTTTCTGAATCTAGAGATCCATTGAAATCGAATGGTGCACAGAAATTGATATGTTACTGAGCAAAGCTGAGAGTACGGTAGGCTTGAAGATGGTAACCCTATAGCGTTGAGACAGCTTTAAGAAAATTGCAATATCTCCTCAAGTAGGCAAAATTGCTCGACAAAATATATAATGTTCTGAATCTAGAGGTTTTGAAAGATCGCGTGGTGTAGAGAAATTCATATGTTACTGGGCAAACCTGAGAGTACCGGTAGCCTGAAGATGGTAACCCTTTTAGTGCTATCGTAATCTATACATTGATCTGTAATGATATGAATGAGCGTATATGAATGATCGCCACTGCGCTAGTTAAGATTTGATATGTGAAACTGCTTAAGGCATTCTATAATGTCGCCAAACTCTGCACAATTGATTACTTTAGCCTGATCAAGGATACAACTCTACATATCGGCATATCTCAATCTGACTCACTAACTTCAAATGAGAATTTGGATGAGCATGTTGGGTGGGTGCCATTTGGCATTTACTCAACAATCTTTACTAATGTCCACGCGTCAGCCAAGCATTTTTGTGCAAATCGTTACGGTTTTCGGGATAAAGTTGTAGATTTTGAGCATTTTGTGGGGATTAATTTCAGTTTGTTAGTGTTTTTTGTGATATTCCAAAGAATTTCAAGTATTATTTTGTTTAATCGACCCTTTTTTGTCGTTTTTTTGAATGTTGTACAGTGTCAAATTTATTCGTTCGCTTATCTTTATGCCACATCCATATTTTGCTTCCTGTTTCCCTTAAGCTTTTAATGGTTCAACTTTGACTGTAGTCGTTTTGTTCACCCAAATTTTTACTCGGATATATACATATATATGTTTCAGATCCAAACAGTGCAGTCTGCATCGCAAAAAATTTATCGGCAATACAGTAAGGTGCTTTCTTTAGATTATAGCAGTTGAATTTGTTTGATTTTGTGGATAGAGAATCTGCTCCGGTTGACTGCTGTGTTATTGGATATTTGCGGGAAGAGTGCCTCATTCTAGGGGTCTCTTCTTCGATTCATCACTCTGAATATGAACTTCGAATTGAGCAACACTAAACGTGAGTTTGTTTCGTTGATTCGTTTTACTCTGTTTCACTTTTTCTATAGAACCAATTCGGTTTGAGATAGTTTATCATTATTCAGAGGGTTTGAGTTCAGTCCGGTTTGAGATATATGTAAATTTAATGATTACGTTGAATCATTACAGAGATTGGCGTTGGCTTAACATTATTCGGTGTTACTTTCTTCACTCTGGGAATTATCCTCTTCCTTGATTCAGCGCTTCTCGCTATTGGAAACGTACGTAAATTCACTTATTTCGTTTGATTCATTCTTAATCAGTTTGATAATCAGTGTCACTGATGAATTTTAGTTGTTATTTGTGAGTGGTCTCGTATTGGTGATTGGTATTCAACGAACAGTATCATTTTTCTTTCAATGGCATAAGATCAAGGCATCTTCTTTATTTTTCGGTGGTATTTTTGTTGTGTTGATTGGATGGCCTTTGATTGGTATCATTGCTGAAATTTGGGGATTTGTTCTTTTATTCGGGTTCGTTTTATTTGCTATTATCCTTATCAACTATCTGTCAGTTGAAGGCTCATGTGAATGAATCGTTAATAATTTTAGCGGATTTCTTCCGGTGGCCATCAATTTCTTACGACAACTACCTGTAATTGGTTCTTTTTTGAATATGCCTGGTATTAGTCAGGTCTGTTTTTATTCACTTATTATTTGTGCTTATTGAATCGAGTTTTAATTTGATTGATTGAAGTGAATTCAGATTCTGGATCGGTTTGCACCTCAGAGTCGCTATCCAGTATGACGAGCAATGTATTGTTGTGATATAAATATTTGTTATTTAGCATCAAGTGATACTTATAATTAATTAATACTGAGTGGTTTTGGCTATTATCACCATATCATCGTTTTGTGTTTCATGTGAAATTTATTGATTACATTTTGTTGTTGTTCTAGTGATAAGTTCAGTTTATTTTAGAGTTTTTGGGGTGATTTTAAATGAAATTGAGATGATATTCGGTAAAAGTGGATAGAGTCATGGTGTGTGTTAATGCGAAAGTGATGAGTAATAGTGGGTAATTGGGTGATATTATGTGGACAGTTTGTTTTATTTGTCCGTTAATTTGATTATTTCTGTTGTTCTTGATATCATGTGTTCTCGGTTCTGATGATGGCTGCAACTGAATTCATTGTTTGTTTTTGTCTTGATAAGTGATATAAATCTCATTAAAACTGCTCATGTTCTGACACATCTTCAAGCGATTTCGTTCTATTTTTCTTCGAAGATGGCAGTTTGATTGTGTTGTAGATGAATACAAATGTAATGGTTTTATTGCAAATAAGCAAAGATGAGGTAATGGTTGTAAGTAGTATGATCACAATGCAATTGAATAGGTAATAAATTAAATGACTTATTCACACAAATGGAAAGAATTCATAAGTTGGCATTTGAGTATAGTTTACTCTTTATTTCATCGAGAAGTTTCATGAATAGTTGAATTGCACTCGTTTGATTCACTCCATTCTTAGTCCTAGTCAGCGTTTTGGTTTCATAGTTCTTAATGTCGTTCAACTGTTTAAGACTGGCATCGTTTTGAAGATTATTCGCCTGGAATGTGCGTTAAATTTGATATTGTTTCAATGATAACTATGTGCAGGTAACACAATGAAATTAAAGAGTTACCATCGTTGAACTACGAAACTGTCTGAAGTTGACGAGAGCCTCAATACAGCATGTATCAGGTGCACATTGTACGTAATTCGGCGGACATACACAAGTTTCCATGAAGTAGTATGAGCACGGCAACATTTCTGGTTGGCCTTCTAAAGTAGGATTAGTCGCTGATGTATGTACAAAAATAAAGATCAGATAATAAAGCGAAACCTACGATCGATCTGCTGTAAATCGCCAGTGATATACGGAGTGATTGTGGTCGATGGAAGGATCTGAATGATAAAATAATTAATAGCAGCGAATGTTAACGTGCTGATGATCATTTCAAAATTGATGGTGTCTAACCGGAGTGGGTATTGTTGAAGACATGAACGGTATCGGATTGATATTCGATGCGGAGTATTGCGATAAGCAATCACAATTCTGTTGTGGTGCAGACATCGGAGACACTTGGATCAACACACATGGGCATTGGTTTCCCAATGGTACATAGGAAGGAGAGATCACCTGTTCCACGGGAATAACGGGCGGTTGGGGTGGTAGTACTGGAACTAGAACTTCAACCGAGGGTTCGGGAGACACGACGGAAGGCTCTACAGTTATAACTGGGAGTTCTGGAGGCGAAACTGAAGCTGGCTCTATGATTATGGTAGGAAGTTCTGAGGGTACGACAGAAGGTTCTATAATAATTGTAGGAGATGTGGTTGGTGAAGGGATCGTTTCTATTGCGACACCACCGGACGTAATCACCTTAAAGATGAATATACAAAAATGAAACGATGGTGAATGTAAGTGCTGCAATTAAACGTTAACAATACCGGTGGTTGAGGCTGTTGGTAGCATTGACACGTATAAGTAGGTGCATCCGGGTCAGTCTGTATGAAATTGGTGATAATTGATGGCAAACAATTGCACTTCTCTGATAACCCCTCTAGTAATTGCAGTTGCTTTTGTAATTCAGTCTGTTGCAGTTGCGAATCACCCTGAAACTCGTATCGTTCAATCTCAAGCCCATATTCACTGAGAAAGTCGCCGTTTCAATGAAAAAAGTCTGGTCTCACCAAAATCGGATTCGAGCATTCGCATTGGAATTCTCCATCAGGAGTGGATATGCAATTGCAGGCTTGTCTTCGCGATCGAATTGTGAACGGCTGGTGTTTCGACTGATTGATCTGGATAGAAAGAAGTGTGTTAATCATCAGATCATCAATGATTATTCATTGAGTAAGTTCTATAGTTCTACAACAAAGTCTGTGCAAATAACACATCACAATGATTCTATGCACATCTAAAGCCGTTGCGAATCACTCTAAAACTCGTATTGTTCAATCCTATATCCTCGTACCAAATATTCACTGAGAAATTCAGCGCTCCAATGAAAAAGTCTCATCTCACTAAAAGTCAGCGTTACAATGAAAATTTATCAACTATAATATCATCCGTTCGTTTCATCTCTGTCTCTCTCATTTTCTCTCAGTCAGTCAAAAAGTGATAAAAACCTGAAACGAATAGAACACTTATCAGTGCAAGAAGTTGCACTTGATCAGTGCGTTCTTGCAGTCATTCTCTTCTTTTCTTCATTGTTCTATGTGAAATTGTTTTGTGATTAGTTCACATCATGTGTTATACTACTATTGTTGCATTAGAATTACATGAGTTCATTAATATCATTCTCGTCACATGCTTCTCCAAGCCATCCTCCATACCCATCAGTTCTACTAGAATGAAACTTCAAAGAGTAAGTTTTCACATTTATGTCACTAATGCAAACATCTTTCAAATATACTCTTCTCATATTTCCAGTCTCATATCTCAACTCTGCATCAGCCTTTAATAAACTGATACCAAACTTACTGCACGAACGTATGATGCGACTGCTATGTCCGCGATCAATGCTGCCAACAATATTGAACTTTTGAGATTTGCCATCGTGTCTGAAACATTGTACTAATGTATTGCTTCATTCAGCAAAAAACTACATACATATCCACTCGTTACACATTAACATTTATTCTATCACTCGCCGATCACTTCGCACATCTCGAGCTGATTCTTCTCTCTCCAACAAAACGAACGCAATCTTTAAAATGAACTCAATTGTCTCTTCAAAAAGACGATTCTCGTCTGATAACTAGATAAAACAGAATGAAATAAATCAATGAACTGGCACTATATGCATTGAAGAGCAAATACATTAATCTCATGAAGAGACAAAAGGGTGCGCATGCGCTAGGCTGAACGAAATAAAGTGGAGCAACTTTTTGTGCTCGTTTAAATACGAATCTTATCTGTGTTCGTATCAATTCCATCAGGAATCATGTCAGCAAACAAACTTTTCATCCAAATAATCCTGGCTTTATGTCCATTATTTGCTATGATTATTTCATTCATAATTTATTGTGTAAGTTTCCAGATCTGTGCGTTTGAAGTTATGTTCTGTTTGCACAGTGAAGCGAGCTGAGTCAGCTGAGTGGAGTTGAATGAGATCCATTTGGAACGAGATAAGTGAGTGAAATTAGCGAGAATTGTTTGTTATGTGTTGAATTAAGTGAATGCTTTTATGTTCTTTTATGAGATATTAAATCTTTGATAAAACTTATCTAATGGTGATGCATATATATATCCAGTTAACATGTATTCATCTGCGTTCAGCTCTACCACTCTCCTGATTGACGTTTTTATTTTAGTAGCAGGCAGCAGCATAGAATTTATTTGCATACTCATATTTTTAAGTGTTTTCACATGATAAGTGAGTGCTTTGTTGAATTGAGTGATCAGTCTATTTGCAGAATGTTCATTGTTGAGAGTGAAATGAAGTTTGTGTGTACGTTTGAAAAGTTGTTGTTGTTTTTTTCAGAGAGTAGTCATTGAGTGATTTTCACTCAAAAAATGATCGCATAACAATAGAAATCATTTTAATGATCTTACTTGTTGTTGTTTATCTAACAACTGCAAAACTGTTTGCAGTTTTTGAGAAGGCATTTGAATTTTGCTTGTTTGCATTGAATGGATCAGTTTGGGTAATTTGATGGAGAATGGGTTGCATTCGAACGAATATTTGATTGGTGTAAATGATTCATTCATCCGAATCACTATACGTCGAGTTGTTTGTATCTGATTTGATAAATAGTAGGACAAAGCAAATTCATTTTCGCAAATGAGATTACACATACAAAATTTATTTCATTGATCCAACCAAATTTGTTATATATTAAAGCCGTTCATCTGAAAATATTCCTTTTATTTATTGACAATTTGCATTCGCAAAAATTCAAATGCTTCATGGAAATAAACTTCCAAGTGAATTGTTATCAAGTACTACTGCATTATAGAAATAGTATTATTCATTTTTCAAATTATCATATGGCATTTTACGCAACATTTCGAGACATATTCGCGTGAAGAAACTGCATAAAAATCGATGCATTTCGTCAGTCAATTCATGCAACTTTCTCGGATATGGCTAACATCCATTCTTACGTTTCTTTTCATAACGCGAGACAACTGCACACAGCATCAACTATGCCTGACGAGCATACGAAAGTGAAAGCTTGATTTGCTGCGAACGGAAAACAGATGCGCTTTATATCCTATTTCCGTTCAGTCAGAGGATGTGTTCAATATACTCAATTTTGACAGAAGTCTTCTACTGAAAATGAATAGTTAATAAATTTCACGTGAAAGTAATTCGAAATTAAGGTAAGAAATTGAATTTGAGATCTCATTCTTATTGTATTGCTCACGACAACAAACAACATTGAAGGTGATAAGCAAGATTTCAAAAAAGCCGCAAGATCTTTCGGTGTTTATTTGCAATAACACTGGATAATATTATCGAAACGCAAAGGACAGCATACGAGCACAAAGACATAAGGTGATCTTCCAAGCAGTGCACACAAAAGTTCCATTTCATCATTTCAATAGGGCAGTATAAGGTGATCATCCAAGCACAAAGGCATAAGATGATTATCCAACACTACAGATATTCCATTTCATCATATAAGCTTATACATCTATTACATCTTATGCGTGAACAGCTAATGTAAAAAGCGAATGGTTGATTCATAGAGCACTTTTGTTCATAGATCAATTTTGTCTTCGTATCGTTTCAGATCGAATGCAAATGATATTCAGTTAACGGTCTGAAGATTGAAGCGCGATAAGTCAGTCCATCAGTGTTATCGAATTTCACCAGCCAAGAAATTAATGTCCACAAAAAAATGTTGTGCTCCATACAAATTAATCTCCACAAAATCTCCACAATTGCGTTTTCATGTGTGCCAATCATCACGTTTCTCGTTTTTTCATCAAAATCCCTCGTGGTCATGTAATACCAATGGAATATTGAACGACGCATCGTCCATATTCGCATCTACAATATCTCTTCTTATTTCATGCTTACGATCGTCCTTGTTTGCTTAATTCAATTTCGCCTTTAGGCGTTATCCCTCTTCATATCTTACACGTTATTAGTTGCATTCTTGACCGTATGCTCAAATTCTGAGTTATCATTGCAGTCTTCTCGGCAGTTGTCAGCAATTCGATCTGTGTGAATTGACCTTAAGAGATATTCATCTATTTGGGAAGCCGTATTTTACCTACAATCATTTATATTCTGATCTCGGACTACGGTTAATCAATGAGCTTGTTCGGCACTAAGAAGTTAATCATTCGAAGGCCTGAGGGTCCCGAAGTCGGGCTCACCGAGGGTAAGGGCAGGAGGTGTTCTCCGAGTGTCGGAAGTAGCCGATCCAACCCTAATTTATACCATAAGATGACAATACAAATTGCATCTTGTACTGCGTATCGTTTTTTTTCAGCGATCGTTTATATACCCACAGTCACAAAACCACATCGCTCATGAGGTTGATGGCGATAGTATCTTTATGCTCATAACAAACTTTTATAATCGATAAACATTTCGAAATATAATCGACAGGTTTTAGGATATTAAGATTCTTTTGTTTGGTACAAATTCATTTAGTTCAAACTGGGTACATTCCAAGCTCAGTGAGATGTTCAACTCACTCACCACAATGTTATTTGGATTCATTTTCACAATAACAAATGCACTCTGAAATATGAACATTCCATTGCATTCATCTGTTTTAATCAAACAATATCCATTTATTCTCCACTCGATATTTCTGATTGTATGGATTGTGTGATTGGGTATATTTCGATATTTCGTCAGCGTTCCTGAACGATCAGGTAATTTTGAATGATTTTGCACAAATTGATCAGTGATCAAGTGAGTGAGTATAAGTATGTATAAGTGGCAATCCATTTAGAAACATACTTGTGTCCGTTTCTTTATATTAAGCAATTACACTTTATGAAGTAATGATGATCACAAATAGATCAAATGCGTTTGAATTTTGCGTTTTGATGCGATAAAATTTGTTTTAAAACGTGTCTTGTTAGTGTAAGCTGAATGAACTTAACGTAACAACAGTGCTTCGTGAAACTTTCATGCGACTACAAAAGCTAACGATGCAGGAGAGCATCACGTAATGAGACTACATGACACGAATGCAGCGATGCGTTTCTGTAGAAACAATTAGACAGTGATTACCTGGATTGGCAAGCAGCAGGCTATCAAACGTTTATAACGTTGCTGGCCACAATGCTCACGTTTCCGTGCGCATTGTTTTAGCCTCAATTAGACAATGAGCTGTTGCATAAATGGTTTCTTTCTAAAATTTATTTTCTACGAATACAGCAGTCTTACGAACAGAGCAGTAAAAGCAAATTGAAATGAGTACCAAGAAGGCTTGAATACATATTGCTGTGATCGACTTTTTCAAACTCGTTAGCTATTAGTCAATGCACCAAGATGACTTAATAAAGCGTTGACGAGAACTTTATAGGAGAAGGCGGACCTAAAAAAATTGTTGAATAAAACAATTAAATTGATGGACAATTGAATTGATTGATTCGAATAACAATTCGAATAAACAACGAATTATATATAGCTATGCGGTGAATTGAAGTGTTCTGTCGAGACCAATAAAGTAAAATGGATGAATTGGTAACAATGTATGCGTGATAAAATGTAATGCGGATTTGAGATGAGTGCTGCGATCGAGAGTGCTTTCGGTTGTGTCGGTAAGGTGTGAGTAGTCAATTAGGGTAATTGAACGGGTATGTGCTTTTCTGAGTTATGATTAGCATGCTTGATGGCAAGTAAATTGAGAATGTTCAGTGGTTATGTGCTGGGTGATAATAAATAGGATTGCATGCTAATAATAATAATAATAATAATAATAATAATAAGAATAATAATAACTGTAAAGTGATGGCAATGGTACACATTTGAATTCGAGTGGATATAAAATTGTTGAATATGATACTTAGTTGTGACAGTCTTAATGGTGGATAGTCATGAAACAGCAGCTGTTTGTGACAGATATCAATCATTCACTGATATTGATATTGTTCGAAGGCAATCACACGATCGAGTTTGTTGGCTTGATAAGTCTTATCGAACGGCCATTGGTTACTTTCAACTCCTATTGATACATTATCATCAATGTTAGATTCATTGCATCGGTTCGGGGCTAGAGAAAGGCTTAACTTAAAGTGTGTTTGTGTGTGTGTGTGTGTTGTGAAGCACAGTCTATCATAAGAATTGGAAGCGCATAATAATTATTACTGTATTTGCTCTCTATGAGATCATCAATCGCTGAATGTGCATTTCAATGATAATCATATTAAAAGCGCTTTAAATCTTTCGAATCAAATCATTTTTATAGCACATTTATAACTGTGCTTTTGTTGTATTTTACAATTATTATTCTTATTCTAAAATGTAAGATAGCAGCAAAAGGCTATCTGTGTAGTGTGCCAAAACCAAAATTGATCCTTTTAAATCCATTCGAATTCGATATCATTTAGAAGATTTAAATATTTACGTCAACTAATGCGTAAAAGTCAGATTGTAGAATTTTTATTATTATCGTTTGAATAGAATTTGGATTAGTGAAATAAATGTGAGACAAACTGATATTATATTAGCTGTGCTTGAATTGATGTGCAGTTTGTTCAATTTGATCAGCTGCTTTAGCTTGATTATTATTATTACTATTATTATCACTATTATCATTATTGTTATTATTATTGTTATTATTATTATTATTTTCATTACTATTATTTACGTCTTTGTTACGATAAAAGTATAATTGGGTGAATTGCGATGTTGATTCATTTGGTTTTTACTCGGACTGACTTTGCTTACGTTCACTTTGGCTGCAGTGATAGTTCATATTGTCGAAACTTTTTATTATTGGTGCTAAGAAGGCTGATAATGAGAATTGCCTCGGTTAAATGCATTCATCCATTAATTAGTCGAATCAAATTCACCGACGCGTTCAGTAACGTCCATTGCCAGACACTCTCAACGCACGATTCGTTCCTGTTTTCCATAGTAATGTTATTGATATATAAAAAAAACGTTATTGATAAATCACTGAACAAATCCATTTATCCAGAATACTTTTGATTACAATCCTTCAAATAATCGTAATCACACTTCGAACTGAACACCAACCAATGCGATCCAAATCAAACTTATTGTCAGTTATCAATTCGATGAATTATTATAACTAAAATATCAATCGATTATGATAATTTATTAATAAAACGTTCACTCTTCATCATATTCTACTGTCGGTTTTATTCTGCTCCATTGTTGTCACTACACTAAACTTACACTAAGAATTGAACTTATACTAACTAAACTTAAACTAATATACTAATAATTGAACGACCTTCACTCAATATCTTTATTTATCAATGACATTACTATGGAAAACATCCTTATTCAAGCGAAAATTCATTCCAATACATTCTTTAAGCACTCACTCTAGCAGCAAATCATTCTCATCTCAGTTTTGTGAAACGTTTCAATATCTTCTGGCAGCACTCCGTTTTAAAAGCCATCAATAATGATATGAATTAGCATATATTCAATTGCACATGTTCAGTTCCTCATGAAGATTTACATTCACTGGATGAATTCAGCAGCACTATCTAGCTATGAATATGGTTTAATTGGAGTGTTGTGTTGAGTGATTGGTAATAATCGAGCGAATGATCTATGTTGATATCCATCAGAAGTGTTATGCTTACATTGCAATATAATGCGTATTATTATACCCATACGGCTGGCTATTTGATCAGCATATTTGTCAGTTGGAATAGCTTAGCTTCATTACTATTTTGAATTGATGGCTTAAGTGATGTATATGATTTTAGAGAAATAGATGAATGAAATATGGAGGATGAAGATAATGGTAATAATAACGCTTCACCAGCAGAAAACAACGAAGATAGTAGTAGTCGTCACTCGTCGATTCATCCAGCACTAGCTCTCAATACATCAAACCCTTTAACACAACATCATTCCATTCTCAAGGTTATTATAAACGATGTTGCTACTCGTTTATGCAATCGTTATTAAATAATAACAAATTCTAACAGCCTCCTATAATTATAATAACAAATCAATGTCCACTTTTAGAGTTGTTTATTTCAAACTTACATCTACATCTGTTATGCTACTCAATCTGTTGCTGACAATGAGTGAAATTCAATTAAATATTCAATTAAATATTATTTGTCATATTATTCAAATTATCATCAGTATTATTTTCATTATTACTGACTGATCTTTAATGGAAGTCGTCTATCCGTGTCAGTGATAGTGAAAATGATGTGAATAAAATAATTCATTTGAAAAAGTTATCTATTAGAATAAAATTGAAGAAGGGTAGACGACGGTCACCAGTGATAGATAGAAAAGGTTTTGAGTGCAATGAAACGATAAAGAAACAAGATAAAGAGAATTCAATTCGATTAAGAGTTAGTTCACTGAACAAATCAACCGACTCTTGAATGCCTTCGATAATGACTGTCAATAAGACTATTTCCGTTCTTATTATCCCTCTTTCGAAACATCATCCGAATTTTTACAACATCATTTTCAATTATATTTCATTCGAAAACTCATTATTGTCTCTGTAATTATCGCAACGAACGCAGTGCAATTGCCATAATGAATATAAAACGTTTCAATTCTATTGAACATCATCTATGATACATTATTCAGTTCAGTCAGCATACTTGCACATGCAACAGGCATTTATTACGTTGTATACATCATGCATTAACAATGCATTTGATGTTAACTCCATTTTTGATAATGCTCTCAATGCGGCTAAGAATATTATTCATTCGTTGGTTATTATTCATTTAAGGACATTCAAGCTTTCTTGTTATGATTATGTGCACTCATTAATTGGCTGTTGAGGATAATCGAAGAAGAGGTCGATCCACAGATACGGCTAACAATAGTGCCGCATCACCGGGCACTTCACCACAACACAGAGTCTCGTTCGATAACACTTTCACCTCTGGTTTAGTTGTTTTCATGTTCATTCATTCCATTCCATTCCATTCCAATTAAATTCAAATTCCAGTTCAACATCTCTATCATAATTGCCAGCTTCTTCTGCTCACTAAACCGATGCGTACATTCTTCTCGTCTCTCATTTTCTCAACAGTCTCGTTTTCGCATTTATGAATGGAGATGCTCGCGCGTTAAGTGTGATCGCAAACGAATGAGGCGCACAGTTTTTTGTTTTTTGAAAAAGTATGAGCATACACATACAATAAATTGTTTGCGTATCATAGAACAGATGAAATGTGGCTAGAACTGATTCACTTATTGATGAATTGCTAGCAAACACCAACAAAAGGTTAAAAGTTACGAATAAACTGCTCTTAAACTCAAAACTATTATCTCAGATATATTCTCACTTATACATCTCCACTCTCTCGTAAAACATCGTCATTGTTCAAATTGCACTCTTAATATTTATATTTGATTTTATTAAGTCATTATCTTAACGCTAAATGAACGATTGAATGAGTTTACGTTCGTTCATACATTTCACATTCTTACATTTCACTTGCCGGAACAAAACAAAGCTCTGATTAAAGAATGAAGATGAGAACAGGAATTAAAGAATGAAAATTGTGTTCACAGTGAATGAAACGAAATGATATTCATTGTGTGCGTGTTGCTGCTGCTGTAAAAGATTTTAGTGAAATATTATACGATTTTAAAGCTATTTTAACTAAGAGGTTGTGAGTTTTAGGCTCGATTATAATATTAATCGTAGTAAGTTGAGTTGAGAATCGAATAGATGAATTGAACAGAAAGTGAGAAATTAGAGATAGAAAATGTTATAATATTTATGATGATATGAGGATGGATAGAATGAAGACGTTTTTGTAAGTGTTGTGAAATATTATCGTTATTATCATTTGTAGAAGGGTAGAATGGGGGAGAGATGCACAATTTAAAAATACTGTACAATAGGAAGCAGATGATATGATGATCTAAGATATAAGAGGAACGAATAGACGGCAGCCAACAACATCCTCGTTGATTTGATTCGATTCGATATCCTCTCGCATCAACTTGAGCGGTTATTCCCGACGATTACTATCGTTGTAATTTGTTCTCTCTTATCACCGTTTCTATCAAGCGCCATCCTTCATCTGATAGGATTTAATCTGCTTCTTTGTGCAGCAAGGAAGTTTATCCATTTCCTATCAGTATCCTCTACTCATCTGTCATTTCTGATTCGTTTTTTTTTCAGTTCTTGAACCATTTATCCGTACGTACCCATATTGACTGTTCCTTTCCAGTTGTTCAGCTCATCGCTGCTTTTTCGTATACAAATTCAATTTTTAGCATTCATCACATGCGCTGTTCTCATTCTCACTATGGATCACTTCCGTTCTATTCAATCATGATAATCCTCAAAGTTCCAAAAATAACTCTAAATACCCGAAAATAGTGTGTGAAATTAGGTGATTTGATGTTTTTATGAAAATGAGGATGTAATGATGAGTAATGCTGAGCTGAATCAACATTGAATTTGAATCAAGATGATGATGATGTCTGTCCTAAAGGTTTACCGTCGTCAGCAACAATTCGAAGTACATCGAACAGACTGGCTGCCATCACTGACTTGGACATTCAAAAAGCCTTGCAATCGGTGTTGAAACAGCGCAGAACATCTCTACCGGTCAACTCAAATGCGTTGCTCAGCAACAGATCCGCTGTTTGTTTCATTTTCATTTATTATTCATCGTCAGTTCTCGGTTCACTTCTTTTTCATCTTCTGATGATGAGTGAAGAAGAAGATATGTTATGTTACGTGTTCCTTTCATGAATATCTCGCAATCAATTCCTCGCCATATCTTCCACCATCTCATTCCAATCACTAGAATGTTTTCGCTCTCTCTTGAATATTCAAAAAACGTTCACATGTTTAATTCTCATCGTGTATTCAATCAAACATTCAGCCATGAAATGAAACTGCTATACAACCAAATAACAAATCGTCATTGTTTTGCTGACACTCATCAAAAACATATCAAAAATGAATAGTTAACGAGATTTCGGTGCAAGAGTATGAATGTTACTGCTTCGAAGGTAATAAATATGAATCAATAATAATACCTAAAGGCAGATGTAATTGTTGCAGTAATGGTAATAATGCGCGATGCTAACTTCTTAGATAATACCTGAATCACTCAGTTCAACAATTTGATGATCGTTCGACTCATTCAGATGATCGTTTTTGAACTGATAATGATCAAACTTTTGTGTGGGTGTTGTGAGTATTAGTTAAAGATTAAATTTTTGCAATAAGAATATAGTGTGTTGATAAACTACCGAAAAGATATCCATCAGTGACTGTCATGTCATATCATATCACAATCATATTACACCAATCAATTGAACCACTAAAACTTGTTCCATTTCCGGTCACATGCATAATATTGTTGAGATAATACGTTATCACCGATTCAGTTCTCCTATTTCCGTTACGATTCATTCATCTCTGCGGCATTACTGCAGTCACCACTCGATCATTTCCAAATTCAGTTCATTTCGGTTATCGTTGATGGATGTTTACTTACAGTTTTTTGTGCATTCTGTCATCTTGGATCTCAATTCTTTACTGTGAATTTGTTTATTCCGTTCAATTTTTGATCATTCGATCGTCCTTCACACTTGCAGTCCCATTTTAATCAGTTGGTAAAATTTTGTTTTAAGTCATCTGCAGAATCTCGATAATGCATCATCTTGAGCAAATAAATCCATGTTTATGCGGAAATTTATATGAACACTATGAAAGAAATTCGAGTCATTGGTCATTTCAGTGAATTTAAAATATTATCTCGCCAAAAGTACACTGCCTTTTTCCCAATATACGAGAGTCACTCTAATACTCCGTTTGTTGTTCATCTCACCTACTCTCGTCAATGTCTTGAAACGTGCAGCTGGTTGGTTCTACGTTACGGACAGTGCTGGCGATTTTTTATTACGATTTATGAGAATGTTACAAGTTTTAAGGAATTTGTTTGTTATTACAGATCAGTGAATTGTCATGCGGAATGAAATAAATTTGTAGATTTTGCTCAAATTTATATTTCAACTCAAATAATGTGAAAATATTCGAAGTTCGATTGAAAGTACACAGATGAAAAATAGAAAGATGCGAATAATTTAGTCGAAACGAAATCTAATGAAACGTTTAGTGATAAAAGCAGAGGATTAGGTGATTGAAGTAGAAAAAGTTGCCGTCAGTTTATTCAAAACACTATAATTTGAGTTCGATTATCTTATGCACTCATGTTATACTTCAACTGCCGACTTGCGCAACTCTGTTGATGTTATTAATGCAAATGAATGTTCATTATGCAGATGCACCAACTGATTACTTCCTTTCTATTGACTGCAGTGTTCGTCTGTGAGGAATTAAGTGCTCTCATTTCATTCTAAGTCATTATTTCATTAGTTAATGCTGAATGATAATTATTAGCCATGTTCATGTTCAGATTCAAAGCAATATCTCTGAAGCTCGGGGTTTGGTTGTTGATATGTTAGCAAATCGAGACCTTCCACCCGCAGTCAAATCATGTCTTCGTGTTGTTGCCACATTACTTAATCCTCAACCGGTACTTTTTCGATGTTTTTTACTTTTACTATTCATATGTGGTGTATCAATATGTAATAATATCAACAACAATAATAATGATAACAATAACCATAATGATAGTAATACAGCCAGCTGTGAGCATCCCATCATCCGAAATCGTTTTGCCGTTGGTGGTCGAGAATCCTCTGTCGGGTGAACAACTAGTGGTTTCAACAGTAAGTTTTTTCGAAGAATGTTTATGAGAAGAGAGCATAAGTGCGTGCTTTCATTTAATTAATTCGAATGACGTAAGTCTTATCCTTATCCTGCAATCGATCCACTGACTTATTCCCAATGTGCTCTGCCTAATCAGAACACAGTGCAACAAAACATGACGCACGTTCCCAACTACAACTATGCTCCTCATAACGAATCAGATTAATCCAAATCAACACTTCAACTAGGCAATAATCAATTGAACATACAATTCACTCTGCATTCAAGCTCATTAATTGTATATATACATGGAACTTATCCTCTCATTACCCATACCACGTCATTTATCTTTCTACATCACAATTACACAAACAGATATACTCATTATGATCTACCCCTAAATTTCGACACATCCTTTATTGGCATTATTATTATCATTTCCCACTGTTGTCCATAAACCTATTATTTATGGTGCACTGTTATGAAGAAAGAACGAATTCACATCCAATTTAATGTGATTCGATGATAGCTAAAACCAAGTCAAGTGGAACTATGGATCATACTTTTAACATATACGGGTTGAGTTGAAGCTGTATGTCAAATTATTTGAAATGTTTATACAGGTTGAGTTGAAGCTGTATGTCAAATTATTTGAAATGTTTATATTAATGAATACTTGGTTGGAATTTGTGAGGGAGCGAAACGGGGCAAAGGAAACGTCGAGAGGAAAGGCTTAAGTGAAGGAGAGTGACAGACTGATGATAAATATAATTGATGGTGAGAATGAATAAATCGTTACCTACTGAACTGGAATTTCAAAGAAAACTTATGAATTATATACACTTGTCCGCAACTAATTAAGGATTCTTTTGAATTGATGCAAGTAAATTGCTGAATATTCTATATGCAATCTGTTCAACTCGCAAGCATGTGATCCCATGCATGCAATTTGTGAATAGCTCATTTGAGTCGTGATCGATTCCTAGAACTGAGCAAAACCGAGACAATATCTCAACTTAGGTGTTACTAATTATTATAAACCCATCAACGGCTGAGTAGAAAAATAATTTGTTGTAACGTATAAATACAAGTGTCTCACATTCATACTTCTCATTACCATCATTCCATCGATGTGTTTCTATGGTTACTTTCATTGTTCATATTTTTGTCATCGTTATTTATTATGATTGTCATTATTATTATTATTACTTTTTAATATGTGTGGATAATTGCGAATGTTATAGAAATTGCGAGAAAATTCATTCGAACTGCAACAATTCTGGAGTGGTTAACTTTCTTAAGAGCTGACTTAAGGCTCGGTCGGGTGCAATATCGGACTGGGAGCCCGAAACCTTCAAACGCTCAGGAGTCCCCAAGGCTCGCTACAGTTCATAAGTGCTTGGGTCCAAGGGCAGGAAATAGGGTCAGCGGTCCTTAAAACCCCGAGGCTAGGGGTTCATGATCCAACTTGATGATGGTGACTTCGGGCACTGCCCAGGATAGGGTGCCTCAAAATCTTATAATTGCTTGGAGTTTCTGAGAGGAGAAAGTAGAGTGAGGGCCACGAGTTTCGCGAATGCCTCATCCAATCCTAGGCGAACTGATGCATAAATAATGATGAGCATATGGTCAAAACAGATTACTTACCCGCAAAATTGAAATCATCGATCCATCCAACTCAGTTGAATTCAACTCATCTATAATGAGCCGAGTGGTTGTTTACTTACATTTTGCCAATATGTCACCACAAACGACATCATTAACTTAAACGCATCACTATCGTTTCATTCAACCACTATCGTATTTCAGAAAGCCGTATTATCTTCAACTATCTAAATTAATATTCAAAATTATATCCTTACTATAATATCGATAACATCTAATACTAGTTCAGTCAAATCCATCACCGAGGCATCCAAAAAAGATGTCTATGAATGGTGCATCATCGATATAAGTTTATATCAACAGCTTTTATCCCTTATCCCCTTTACGCTTATCATTTTAAATCGGGCATTCATGCGCATATCTCTCGCGATATGCCTCTAAGCCAATGTCTTCTTGCCTTACTAAATCAAATTAACACCCTACTTTTCATTCTGAGATCAATTGTATTTATTTTATATGGAAACTTCATTTCATTCATTGTTCATATCACTCATTCAATACATTTGACTATGAGTCAAATTTTTAGTTGTGTATTAGTTTATTAGTATTATTGTTATTATTATTAATATTATTGTAACGTATTTATAGCAAAATCTTATTATTGCGACAAATTAGCTTTACTCCGAACAGGGAAGGAATCTATACAGAATTCTTGGGATCCATTTTGGAATTAGAATCAATGAAGGGAACTTATGATCAATCATTAATATGTACGTTAATAAATAATGAATTTTCTAACTGCTGCATTCAGTTGAATGTGTTATAGAAATGGAGTGAGTGTGTACTATTGAATTATTCAATCGAATTTAATGGATGGAACGTAATTAAAAAATATGTCCAATAAGTAATGCATTATAGCACAGATTATTTAGCGTGAGCATTACGCATTCGTGTGATAGATTCGTAATCAAGATTATTGTGTTCATTAGATATTAATGAAAATATTATTTTAAATGATGTGCTGTTTTATGCTGTATTGTGATTTTGTTTGTGAATGTCACTGTAAAACTGAGCTTATTCAACATGAATATGGTCACGCACATTTAAGTGAACATCATTTTTAGGTTTATAAATATTAAAATTACATATGCCTACACAAATATTTCTAATGTTGATGCAGTGTCCGTGAATCGCTGAGTTATTTTAAGATTAATTTTTATATAGATTCAATGGTGGATGCATCTAAAAGTCACTAAATACACAATTCTAAACGATCGCATCGCTACAATCATTTTAAAATTCAACTAGAATGAATTCGAAATCGTCAAACACCTACAAACAACAACACCTAACAGTTCCATCACCAACAAGAAAACCCCACACAGATCCTAATAAAACTGTGCCATCGACAAGTCATCATGACGATTTGACCATATATACGAGCCTCTTTAAAAAACGTTTTGCTCGTGTGTTCGGTTATGAGACGAAGTATGCAAGACGTTGTCTGCAGACTTGTCTTGATACAAATAGTGATCGATCTCAGGTGATCCTTCTTCTGCATTTCCATTTCAATCCACTCCAAGTCCCTTCTATACACCTCCTCCAAATTCAATTCATTTTCGATCAAAACAAATTCTCAGGCATCTAAACCACGCGTATCGAATATCACTTTCTCGACAGTAACAAGTGCTACTGGACTACCGACGATAGCTGCTGAACCGTCAAGGCCTCGATCGAGTAGGTATGATTTTATGCGTTTTGATTGATTTAAATAAACATTCGGTTTGCTCGATATTGAATGGATCAATGTTACTCACGTTCGGGAACTCCATTGCTTCATTCGATAGTCTGGTAGGTCGTCATTACTCCCCTCCCCCTCCATTTTCCAGGATTTACAAAATCTCGAAAGTGAGACCTAATCTCTGGAACTTTATTGATCAATTGCAGATAGAATTTATCCCCCCTCCTCCTTTCTTCCTCTATGAGAACAATTTACCGCCTTCGTATAGGATAGATAGATAAATAAAGGATTGATACAATGCACTATCAAGTTAAAACAGATGATTTGAAAGAATAATAAATTGAAGTTATTGGAAACCACCTGAACGTGAACGTGATGAAGCAGCAGCGAGTGGTGCATTGCAGAGTCCACCCGCATCACCCTCTTCCAGCAGTCAAACATCAACCTCTCATCAAGCACATACTTATAATGGTTATCAATTAATCAACTTTCTGAAACATATTTCGTTCATAGCAACGATAATAATTAATAATCATATCAACAATAATTAGTGACTGATTAAGATGAAAAAGGATATCAATCAAAAAATCGCACGTCGAGTGTTATTCCCCTGAGTAAACCATCACCAATATCATCATATACAGATATCGAGGGGTCGAATGGTGAGACAGGATCAAGGTTTGTATTCATTTGTTAAACACCTCACATCAGTGGCACACTTGAGATGGCAAAGCATCGTGCCCGTTTGTAATTTCAGGTCAGATAGTGAAATAAGTGACGATTTGGTACAAACAGTGGATGGTATTCAATATAATACGAAGGAGTTGCAGTCGGATAGATTATTAAGTCGAATATCTGAATGGGCATTCCCGATCTTTGACTTGGCTCACTCTCATCCACAGACTACGCTTAGTAGGGTGGGTTTATGGGTTTTTGATCGATTATTTTGAGAGTTGTTCTGTTTGAGATAACATTACTATTAAAGTAGATTTGTTATCTCGTTTCGGATTGTTATTATAATGAATGATCAATTTTCAGTTAGCATATGCAATATTCAAGGAAGCAAATTTGTTTCGTATATTCAAACTGTCCACATCGAAATTCTTCAATTTCTTTCACGCTCTCGAGCGTGGATATTGGGATATTCCTTGTTAGTTGATTGTGTTCGTTTCATTTCTATGATCAGTGCCAGCAATTGAAAGAAAGAAGAGAATCTTTGAAGATCATAACCGCATTCATGCAGCCGACGTACTTCACGGATGTTTCTATCTTACCGTTCATCCAGTCAAAGCTTCCTTCTCAACACCCGATTCACCGTGTACCACCGCTTCGATACCTATCGCTCACAGTATGAGCACTTTAGAGGTTCTTTTTAACGACAACTCTTCAAAGACTAGCGATCGGCCTTCTCAGCGCCATATAATTCACTCTACGGGAATCATAAGATAACCTCATTTTGACTTATTGCCTCAAAAGTCCTAATCGGAAGCCTGATCGGTAATATGAAATAAAATTTGAGGTGATGGCCCTATATACAGCAGCAGCGATGCACGATTATGATCATCCCGGTCGAACAAATGCTTTTTTGGTAGCGGCCGAAGATAAAAAGGTTCGAAATTCAGTGATTCAAGCTGTTGAGGTCTACGAGATAAGTTACTGAACGTTCAAATGAACAAGAAAAATGATCAAATATCACTTGGAAATTGACGAAAGCACTCGGATTTGACGAAAGTGCATTCCAACGATCCAGGCTCATTTCCGTGGACTGCTGATCATCATGCGCATTCATCACCAATTCGCTGAATTTCCCAAATCATTCTGCTCAGTTTCCGTCTTTGTGTCCGTTCTATGACTACCTCTATTCAGTTGCTAACTTGTTTTTTCCGTTGTCGACTTTTAAAGCCAATTACCCAAGTTTGAGGTAATTAAATGATTAAACGATTTGATACAACCTATCAATCGTTACAAAGTCTTTTTTTTTGGTAAAGTGATAGTTTGATGCGTTATAGGCAATATTGTATAACGATCGCTCTGTGCTTGAGAATCATCATGCTGCTGAGTCGTGGCGTTTGTTGTGTAGATCTGAGAATTGCTTCATTGATACTCTGGACGCGGCTGAAACGAAACGATTTAGGTGCGTTTATTTGAGCATTATCGCTTTCGATTCATTGACGCCATCAACATTGAGCCTAAATTGTTCAGATACTTGGTATTGGAGTATATACTAGCAACTGATCTCAAGCAACACTTCGACATAATAATGCAGTTTAACGAGAAATCAGCTGATATGGATCTGAATAATGAAGCGGATCGTGTGCTCATTTCGGAGATGATTATAAAATTCGCTGATATCAATAGTCCTTCAAAGCCATATCGCTTGCACAAACAGTGGACGAAACGAATTTGTGATGAGTTCTATGAGCAGGTTTCTTTCAGTAATTAATTACTATCATCGTTTTGCAGATTTTCTAGGTAATTATATTTTTATCATCAATTTCCATACATTCTCGTATCCTTACGCAAAAGTAATCGCTATTTTTTGCGGCAACACTACATTGGGAGCGATGGCAGCCAAATAAATTGTTCAGATATTTGACAAAGAGTATATCGTTGACCATCTCTCTTCCCATTCCCCCCCCCCTCCCGACTCAACGCGAGTGGTTTTGACGATATTTCGGTGATTTGAGTTATTGAAACCCCCTCGAATCTTGAAGCAAAGCAGTGAATTAAGGGCGATGAGGAGAAGCGACGTGGAATGGCGGTGTCTCCGTACATGGATCGGAACGATCCTTCAGTAGCGAAACTGCAAGATTCGTTCATAGCACACATCGTGAGTCCACTGGCAGTGGCGTTGAATGAAGTCGGTCTGTTGCCCGTATTGCCTGGATTAGAGGAAGCCGAGCTAATAATCAACCTGAAACACAACCATCAGAAGTGGTTATCTGCTATCGAAGCACAGAACAATGATAGCGATACAAACACCGATAAAACATCCAATCAACTCAAAATGATGAACAATTCTATTAATAGTTCCAATTCCTTCGCAAATGCTTGCAACCAGTCTGATGTTATTGAAGAAGAGGTGCGTCTTTCAGAGAGCATTTTACAGCATTTGTAATGTTCAAGTAATCCTGAAATTTGAAATTTTATACGAGGGAAAGCATCCGCAATGTGCAATATTATGAAATTTTGCATCAAAATGATCACTTCTAAATAGAATTGCTTTTTAAAACTGAATTTTCTTAAGGGTTCAACAACACCAACGACGACAGATTCATCGTCGATAAATCACTCAAGCCAGAATTTAATGACTAAAAAAGATCTGATTGAAAATGAATCTTCTCAAGAATCACTAATCGAAACTGAGGTTCGTGACCAATTTATGAAACGAATGGGGAATTGAACATTTATCACCTGCTCTAATTACCTATCACTTCATTTCATATCTCTATTCTGTTCGTTATTATTCCATTCGTAAACCGAATGCATGACACTGTCCCTTTTTCGGTTCGTTCGTTTGTTCATCAATTTCTGGTTGCATTTTCCAGTTGATCGGTTTTTTGATCATTTTATGACTTGTTATAGATTAAATCGTTTCGATTCCATGTGCACTTGCAATATATATTTCAGTGAATGACTCCCTACCTCGATCCGTGTATTCAACAACAACAAATATTATTTATTCTAGTCCGCTTCTTTCGTTTCGATGTAAATTATTTTCATTATATCAGATTAACTTAACTTAACTGTTCTGTATCTTGCTGTCCTTTAACTGCTCTCATCTTTTGCTTATTCTCATTATCAGTAATCATTAACACTATTAACTTTACTTTACTATTGAAGTTTAAAGCTTGTTTGATCACCATCAATAACTTACTATTATTAACATTAATTCAAATGTTACTTTTGATATTGCATATCTTAACGAATACCAATGCATTTCAGGATCAATTTCAAATGTGCACAATCGACGAGGGTGATGAAGAGTATTTGTGATTATCAGCTACTAGCAAGCTTATGGATGTTGTTGCACTAATGACCATTGATTTTAGTAGCAGTCCAGTTGATAGGGTAACAATATTCAGTCATTAGTAATTATTGTTATTGTTCGTGTATTGGACTGGATATTTGAATGACTATTACGGGTAGTGTTGGGAATAACAGTGACGACAGTAATAAGTTCAATTGATAATTATTCAGTCAGCATCCTCAGCTACAAATTGAATAATGATCATTTAATACTCATTCATTTATTGTTTCATTACGGACACTGATTCATAATAACCATTTGTTCATAATTTTGTTAAACACTCAATTTGAATGCTTTAATTCGACTTTTATTTTGTTTTGTTCATCCGTTCCACTGACATATAATAATGAATTAATTCTTGTTATATATACATGTTTTTGGTTGTTTGTTCGCTGGATTTGCATTCAACTTGAATCAATCATAAACTTTTTGTGTCGTCGTTTTTTGATGTTTTTTCGAATTGTTTTTCATTTAACCGATCATTTGTTAGCATTAACAGTGATAGCGGTTAATATTGTGTCCTCCCATTCAGACTTCTATTGTTTGTATTATCTTCAGTTCGTTGATTCACATAAAGTGATATTCAATCATACTCTACGCAAAACGATACTTCATAATTTTCATTTCATGAAATATCACACAAACACTAGCAAATTTACAGTGTCTAAATAGAATATGTCATAGTTACGGGAACAACTCTTTAGCTTGACGGGAACAACCGCTGATGACAACTTCAAGTAATGCTCAGACAACTCGAAAAACGTTTGCAGGTGCTGAATGTTTGGAGACGATTTTGTAGCATCGTTGACCGATTCAACGACTCGGCTGAATGAGTATCTTATTCACGAAATCCTCCGCAGATTTCATTCAGTTAGAAAACAAACGAAACATTTTCGCAAAATCACATTCCACAATGGATATCTTATCTTATTCACTCGAATATTCACACTTCAGTTCCAAAATAGAACCGACTGTTAATAATCCCGGCATTAACTATTCCTAGAATGCTTTATTGGCGTTGTTTCTTCATATTTTAACGCTGTCGGTTCGTGAAGTGTCATTAAAATTTGACATCTTAATGAACGAATGATTCCCAGTGAAAGTTTGATGAATTTTCTACAGTTGGGTGGGCTTTACAAGGAAACGTTTTCTTCATTTCGGTGAGTTTTGTCAACGGGTAAGTTTACAGATTGCCGGATGAGTTGCATTTTTCCGAGTAAATTTGACTTTGATCTTGCATTTATCTGTAAAATTTGCTCGCACTCAGAACTCATCCGTTCTCTGCAGAATTCACCCAGAATATGTGCATTCGGAATGCTGACAGTTCGCCCAATGACGGACCTCGTATTTGCATTTGTTATATGTTCGGAAATGTGAATTTATTATCCATTTAGCTGGAATAAATCCGGGCAATTCATATATCATTTTGTAGCGCAGATCCCAGAGAATAAAACAAGATGTATAGATTTACCAGCAATCAAGACATGCTCGAGATTCTTGATTTCGCTTTAAGTGCAAAGGTTCAACAAATAATTTGAATCGGTACCCACCCGAAAGGGAAAATTTATAATCATGATATATACCATGTTGTAGCCGAGATCGAGTACTACAGAAATCTTCTCTAATATTGTCGACAATTGGTAATTTACGACAGTTATAACGTTTGGCGTGATCAATGGTGGTGATGTTCAATAGTCACAATTGACATGTATATGCCAATTGGAAATGAAAGGAGGATTGATAAGTGCTGATGTCGATTTCGTTATCTCGAAATATGTAGGGATTTGATCACTTCAGAGTGTTTCGCTGAATTCTGAAGATGGGAAGATAGCGTGGAACTTATTGTTTTTTATTGTTGGAACTTATTTTGGAATTTGGAACTTGAACTTATTGAACCTATTGTCACAAGTTTTCATTGTTATCATTTGTTTTTTTTTTAATTGTCCTATCATTTGCTCGAAATTCATTGTTCAGGAAAATTTTAGGTGATATATGATGCATTTTACTATTTCATTACAGAGAGAATTTCAGTCTCTCTACTATACATGCCCATTTTGACTATTGAAAAGCACCATCGGTCAACAGTCATAACTCTCGTAACTTACGAATTGACGACAATATTCAGAAGGAATTTCTGTAGTACTTGATCTCGGCTGCAACATGATATATATTATGATTATAAATTTTCTCTGTCAGGTGAGTACCAATTCAAATTATTTGTTGAATTTTTGCACTTAGTGTGAAATCGAAAATCCCAAACATATCTTGACTGCTGGCGAATCCGTCAGAAATGTTTTATTCTCCTGGATTTGCGCTACAAAATGATATGTAAATTGCCCAGATTCATTCCCGTTAAGTGGATAAGAAACACACATTTCTAAACATATATCAAATGAAAATCCTACTTCCGTCACTTGGCGAACTGTCTCTTCGTTCGTAATTGGCGAAGTGCGTGTATATCGTTCAATATGCACAATAGCAATTTGCAATACAGTAAAATTTCCGTCGAGTTGTAATGTTACGAGTGCTGCAATCACATCTAGACGAACGGACACGAACTTATGCCAGATAGAGAAATCAGATAGGAAAAAGTGAACGTTTAATAATATGATTACGTGTCACTCCGTTTGCATTTGTATATAATAGATATTGCAAAGGGAATCGATTCCATTCATCGGTATTTGCGATGTAACATTGCAGCGATTGAACCTGTTCAGCACATCTTCTCTTATCATCGTACTCGTCCGAGTAATTTTATTATTTTATAGTTAGTTTGTAATTCGGTCAGTTTCTTCGCTTAACTCTTGCAATATGCTTCGGTTTCATAAGACAATACCCTTTCGTATCAGTCACTTTATTGAAGCAATGTAGTTGTAGTTGATTGATTTTGTTGCATTGCATTCATAATCACAAAGGAGACAGTCTTATTGAGATAACTATTACTCGATCGGAGTGAGGAATTGAAGCGTGAATATCTTCAGCTATTCAGTTTTCTATATGTTTTCACCTGGTCAATAATAATCGATTCATTTTGTTTGGCGAATGTTTCTGGTTGAAGAATTTTGAATATAACGTAGGATTTATGCAACTTTCAACAAGCATTCATTATTTGCTTAGATGATTATTCAACGACGTATCACAATTTTCATGAAGAAGCATCGTTTACTGTGTACGTATTCAACATTTTAAAAGAGAACTTATTGTTAGGAAAATTTCTTTTTATCGATCAAAAAATTCCTCCATAATTTGGGTTCAAGGCTGCAGAGGGCAACGTTTTTTGATGCACATTAAGAGGATGTGACATGACCTGAAAACGAATTGAAATTGAAAATTTTCAAGGTTCAGCGTCAAGTACCCCTTAACCGACCGTGAGACTTCGCCTTTCCGTTGAGATACAGCCACGAATCGAACCATATCATAAAGTGAGCCGAACTTTCAGGGGTCATGACTCTAATAGCAGTCTTTTTCACCGCATTCATTGCGTACACATCCATTGCCTATGCCACAACCGAAACAGCCACCGTTACCAAAAAAGTTTTCTTTGATATCGAAATCGGTGGTAACAAGGTAAGTTGTGATTCTTTATCGTTAGTCAATCAATTCACTATCAAAACACACATCCAAATCACCCACTGAATGCCATTCCATCGTACCGTCTCTAATTTCAGGTTGGTCGTATTGTGATCGGTCTATTCGGTAACGATGTACCAAAAACTACCGAGAATTTCCGTGCTTTAGCCACTGGTGAAAAAGGATACGGCTATAAAGGGTCTAAATTCCATCGTGTCATCAAGGACTTCATGATTCAGGGTATGTTTAATCTATAATAATGAATAAAAATGTGTGAATGAGAAATGATTACAGGAGGTGATTTCACTGCGGGAGATGGTACAGGAGGAAAGAGCATTTACGGAGAAAAGTTTCCAGATGAGAACTTCAAATTACAGCATTATGGAGCTGGATGGTTGAGTATGGCGAATGCCGGTAAAGATACAAATGGATCGCAGTTCTTTATCACCACAGTAAGTTATTATATATGCATATGTACTTATACATATGTAAATGTAATTCATTTAAGGTGAAAACGACGTGGTTAGATGGGCGTCATGTAGTATTCGGAAAGGTTTTGGAAGGAATGAAAGTCGTGAAAGAGATAGAAGGTACAAAGACAGCACCCGGAGATAAACCTGTAAAAGATGTGGTAATTGCTGATTGCGGGGAGTTGCCTCTGGATGGTCCTTTCGATACACCAAAGGAGGGCGTTACTGCATGAATGGAATGATTTGATTGACACTGGACTTGATTAAAATAATTCGTTTAATGTTTTGTTTTTTATTCACTTTTGTTTAGTGTGCATCGTACAATCTAATTCAATTCATTCGCTTCCTCATTTTGAGGCCAGTCGCCTTATTACGTTGAATACAAACTCTGTGGGTTGGAAGAGGAAATGAATAAAGAGTCATTACGCTAAGAACACATTCAGAACACATTTATTGAGTAAATAAGTTCATTTGTGGGTTGATATGGCGTAAGTTGATAGTAAAAGTTGCAACAATTCAATTGAAAAAGATTACGACAAGTATAAGATATGTATGTCACTTCACGATATACGTAGGTTTACGGTAACTATAATCTATTCAACGATGCGGTTTTAACAATACAATACATCAGCGTGGATATCATTTCATGATTCAGCGCAACGTTTTGTGATGGATATCATCATCTCCTCTATCTTCTTGTGTTTAGATCACGATTGTATTTCCATTTATATTTATTCTCTTAATTGTTTTATTCATTTATTAATGTATTTCCAATATATCACACCATGCCGGGATAAGTGATTATTAATGTTGATCTATGTATCAATGATGATGCTCTTTGTTTATGTTATCCGTATTTGTGGTTACTTGCTAAAAGTTGTTCTAATAAAATTGTGATGTTGAATTGTCTGAATGAGGCTTAATGAGTCTTGCATCGTATTCACGTTTTATAGCACATTGGCATAACTTGCATCAATTCAGTATGCAATTCATTTAGATTGTGTGATAAAACAATGCCCTTTCGTATCAGTCACTTTACTGAGGCAATGCAGTTGTAGTTGATTGATTTTGTTACACTGCATTTATAATCAGGAAGGAGACAATTTTATTAGTTGATCAATTGATAGGAGTGACGAAATGGAGCATAAATATCTTCAGCTATTCAAATGTTTAATACAAATACTCAGTCGAAATGGTGTTACTAATACAACTTCATAAATACGTTCAACTTAGACGGAGGTCGAGTTGTTTATGGGACGAAGGGGGAATCTTTCCCACTATAGGATAATTGTGTATGGGATGGATGATTGAGGAATTTTAATGATCTTCAGTGGCTCAATTAACTGACTTACGCATTTCGAGAGGTGTACTAATTGGGGAAATTTCGTATTCAGTTTATAACAGCTTTGTAAATATTTTCAGAACATATCAAAATAACATCGAGAAAGTTCAGTTAATTAAACCATTTAGGAAAGTGAAGCATTTCGATACGCTTATAAATGGTGGTTACAGCCATCATTCAGAATTGAATAACTAACACATCATTCACATAGATTTGATTTACATATTTTATAGTGTATCTAGAAGAATGATAATAATTTATGTAGCGACATATCATTACTTTAAATGTAATATTTCTTTGCATTTCTAATGAATCAGTTATATGAATAAGCAATGAGAATGCTGGACACTATCGTTTTGCTCACGATCAGTGTTATCTATCAAAATAACGAATGTAGTCAGTATTGAAGCGATGAGAATAAGAATACGATTAATGATAATAATAAGGTAAAAATAATAATACCTTGACGACCAAATTTTGCGTAAAAATGATGGAATATGCGAGACGTTTCGACGCAAAACGTCAGCTTCAATCACAGGAGTATTGGATACTGACGATGGTGTGCATGTGCAACTAGCTGATTATATTAAGTGTTTAGCAGATTAATTCTAAAGGATTACGGTAATCCTTAGCGATTATGTATGAGCATGTTTATCCATGTGACAGAAAAAACATGTGGTGCTATTGTCATTATTCTTCTTCTTATTATTATTATTATTATCATTATTCTTATTCTCATTGTTGTTGAAAATGCGTATCTCAGCGCTAGTCCATAATTTCATCCAGTATTAAAGACGTCTCACCGATATTTATATCGGTGAAACGTCTTTAATACTGGATGAAGCATACAACTGTAAACCTCTCCTCTCGCGAAGGTAAATCGAATTTATGCACTCAGTAATAAATTTTGCATTAGCTATGTCGCACATTCCGTCCCAATAGAAGAGCCAAAGTCTCGAAAGATGCAATCTGTTATTTACAGTCATTCTAAAATACATCTACCAATAATGAATATGTCCACACCTATATCCATCTCAATCTCCATAATACTAGACCTAACACCCTGTTAATATTTTTCCAAGAACATTAATTTGTATTACTTTTCTATAAAAAAGACCCAACCTCTCGGTGAATAAAAACATTCCTGTATTCCATTTCATTGCACATACTTAATGAATATTCATGATATGTTCATTAGAATCAAATATTTAAATAATTCAACCTGACATGAATATATTCAAACTAATCCATCCATCTATCCCCCTATTCGTTGTATTCGTCAGCAGCTCTTCTCAACTCTCCGCCTAACAATAAGATACAATCCTGTGGAATGCTCAACATTATCCGTCATTACTGCTTCATAACAATTTTTATTAATGACAACGAAATCGCTGATTACTTATTTCATAAATTGTTCTTTAAATGTCAATTAATTAATCATGAACTCCTTTATGACTGATTAGTTGACAGTGATTAGTCATAAAAATCATAAACTTTTATAAACCATCATAAACCTTCATCATAAAAATCGTAAACCTTCATAAATCTTCATCACTTCACTCATAATCAGACCTTCATTCAGAAAAGCACAATTAATCATAAAGACTCCATTTTATAATTCGTTTTATTCGCAATATTTTCTTGTCGTTTAAATTCCCCTCGAATTGGCTGCGGGGAAAGAAGAACGTTAAGCAATGAAGAGTGTGACGTTTGTGATGAGAGACAGGCATTAAGTCGTAATTGCTGATTAAATAAATCAGTAAATGATAATAAGATTACTTTTGCAGATATAAGATCTAGCATCCTCATCGTAATCTCTATCCAAATAGAAATCAAATGCAGCAATTCGTTCGAAGTTGTTTAAGTGCGCTTTGTGGTGAATCGAAGCATCCAGAGTCGAGCTTTAACTATGAACAGATATGTGCATTGAATAAGAAGGAGAAGAAGCTTCTTCAACAACACTGGCACACGTGAGTATTAATTAGCAAGATTTGTTTCGTTCATTTACGACACCCCAGCTCACATCTGTATTCAATGCGCATTTCAGCATGATTCAACTCAATCCAGATGTTATTAAAGACTGTTGGATTAAGACCTCAAAACGAAGCAGTTCTATCAAGGTTCGTTACGATATTTTCCAAAAGATCGACCCTCAGTTGGTGGTACATGTTATCAAATCATTATAAATCTGAGATCTTGGTGGTTGAATGTAGTAAATCATCACCGGGCTCGGCTAGATCGAACTAGCGACGTTTCGTTTATGAAGCGCTCACTCTACCGCTGCGCCATTCGACACATGAACGATTGATGTGATGAATTAAACTGTTGATGAAGTAGTTTTTAGAAAGCGTTCGGTATGTTAGAACACGAAGAGCCAGAAACGAATGCGTCGTTCATGAATTTACCGATCACAATTCAAGCGTTCTTCAAAGAACTCATTTTTGAACTCGACTGCGATTCGGTCAAGGTGAGATGGAATGTTTTATTCAGTTGATAGCAGACATATTCATCAATGACAACTATTCAACTGTTCGCATCAGTCTCATTCTAGATTCGTCAAAGATGCGAACAACTCGGCGCTCGTCACGTCGACTTCAGCGAACGAGGCTTTCACTCGAATTTCTGGGATATTTTTCAGGTTCGGTGTTACTTTAATAAGAAATGTAAAGAATTAGACTACTGCAAACAGAATTCAGGTATGTACAATAGAGGTGATCGCCGAATGCAACTTGGGTCTGAATGAAGATCAGCATCGATCATATGAGTTAGCGTGGATACATCTGCTCAGTTCAGTCGTCAAGTCCATGAGAAATGGATATACGCGAAGACGAACACACCTTGAACGCCCCAAATCCAACACATAGTATATTATTAATCCTTCATTCCTCTTCAGTCTCGTTGATGTCCACCATCCACATCCACCTAAACAAGTAACTACTATCTCAAACACTCCCGTATTTAATTCTCTATCACTACCAACTAGCATTCGTAAATGATATTGCGTTAATATCAACACCGAATCAGTTCCAGTTCTTCAAAAGTAATTTTAAGAGATGAATTTTGCGTATCAAATCCACTCTGAACATATATATGCATGTATCATCTGCTACCTTCGCAGCAATTTATCTGAATTTGTTAATCTCTTTCTTTACAAATATTTTACATTCAATTCATCAAGAGCATAAAAGCTCTTTCAGAGCATAATAATGCCCTTGTCATATATTAAGTGTCCAGCATTCCTCTAGCTTCGAACTACATCCGTTATACACGCCAACACTACATCTGTATATATCCTTTCCATATCCATTTATATACCCATAACCCAGATGTACATGCATCCAAATTCATCCATCTGTCCATCTTAGTACCGCTACTATAACAATATAAACAAATGAATAAGGAATCGATTTGAATCCTCTCTTCTGTCCATCAAAAAACCGCAAGTTAACAAGCATAAACGTGTAAAACCAAAAAGCATGCCTTAACACACTAAAACGAACCATCTAACTGAACGAATATGCATTCACCTAACTAAGTATATTCCAAATAAACCTAATCGCTCGCAACAAATCCCATTCTAAAACAACCACACCAGCCCCAATCACCAAAAACATCAACGAACAACCAAAGCAATATCCATTCATCTCAGTGATACATCCATCCACATATCCTTTCTTTCGTCAGCTGCTACCTCGCTGTGCAGTTCAATCGAAACAAATCTACGCACTCATTAATAACTTCCCATTCAAAATTTCATTCTTTTGCTCCATATTCATCATCACTGCTCGATAAATTCATCACATTTCCATGCATAAACATAACCCTCCTATCGACATGAACTCTCCCATATCCATATTATAATAACAACAACTGCATCTCAAACCCTTCATATATCCTTTTTATATCCATTCATATGTAGATATCTTCGAACCAAACCGATTTTATCGTTGCAGCTGTTTGAATTCTCAACATTTTTATGTATGCGAACAATCTTTGACCGTTTCATTGATTCATTCCTCATCAATATTATTCTAACTTTCGGTGATACAACTCAAAAAGTCATATCATCTAAAAAATATAAACCGTGTCGTGTCTACTCCTAAAATAACCGCATTATCATTATTAATAATAACTCACTCCGCAAATATCAAGCATTAATTCAATTAAATCCATCACATCACATCCATATTAACATTAATAACGATCATCCTTACATAATAACGATCCTTGTTTGCACACTGCTGAATGTGATCTCATTTATCAACATATCGATATTATCAGTTTATCCGGTCGTTTGCGTATCGCATCCAGTATTACTTTGAATGTCACACATTTAATTGATATCGAATTACTTATTATTATTTGTTATTATCATTATTGTTATTATTTATATCATGATTATTCAATATAACGATGTCAAGCATATATAAAAACAACTTGAAATCCTTTTCAAATTTTATCATAATGAGTATAAACATATATATTCGCTTATGAAATGATGATAAACAAAATAACAACAAAGCATTTGGAATAAACCAAAGCCGGATAGTGAACATTCAGTTGGCATCAGATGAGATGTCATAATCAACAACTTTGCACCATATCCACCCATTCATTCACTCGTATTTCAGTTTGTAGTAAATAATAATCTGGAATTTCATAAATCCAGGATCAGTATCAACCATCCAAAATATTAATTAATTAATTTATTTATTCAATTCGTTCATTCACGATAATAATTGATAATAATAAGAGTGGAATGCAACAAATGAATGGAAACAGATGTGAATGTTGAATGTGTTCGCATTGACAAACTCAATGGCAGTCTCAAATCCGAGTCTCATCGTTCAGTTGCGATGAATAAACATGACAGTTAGTTGAATTGTTGCTATTATCATTTATCACTAATGCGATGATCAAGACGATATTAACGCAACGCTTATCGATAACATTTTAAATGCTCACTGACTCTCATCAACCCCACAACATTCATTCAGATTCATTCAAGATTCAGCAAACCTAAGAAGCCACTTCTGTGATCAGTAAAATAAGTGATTTCAGGATCACAAACCAAAAATCGAACGATATACCCGCCGAAATTGCCCTCCAGATTCACATGTAAAACCGAATTCTCCTCCGGATCGAGCTTCCATCAGGATGACCCCACCCTGGAAGGTCACCAGCTCGCCATCTTCATCGTACTCTATATTGTTGCTGTCATTGCAATCGTGATGCTATTCGAAGTGACAATGCCTGTCCTTTTCAATCCCAACTATCCCGATTTCAACTAATCCACAACTCACTTCATCCAATTTAACATAAGTCCATTTTATCAGTCAAAAGCAATCACTTAATTGCAATTTTATAAAGTAACCCAAACAAATTTATTATGCGAACCAAACCACTAACTAAATAAACAAATTTCTTTTGTCATTCTTCCTCAGAAGGATATGTCAGCAACATCAAAAGGCTCATCGTATCTCAACTCAATGCTTTTGATTAAGATGTGACTCGTATCCAACTCATCAATAACAATAACGATCAGCTATCATTCCATATATTCGATCATATTTATTACCTTATCATTAAAATCTCAAATTTTCAATTAAAACTATAGTCACCGTCATCTGTACTCACCGAAATCTAATTAACAAAAACTCCTTTTCAATTTGTATCATATCATATAAAAAGATAGTTCATTTTATCGCTATGATATTTATCTATATATAAACGTGATATTTATTATGTATTATATAAATATAACTTAATATGATTCAGTACGTATTGCTGTATTGTGCATACAAATCATTTAAGTGAATAACAATAATAATGTTTTCATACCCAATAACCGTAAATATTCTCATTTTTGAGTGTTGTGACAGCAAAGATTTATAAATGAATAAAATCCTCCATATTATAATCCACTGAAGTGATTCAGCAAAAGAGTCGTCTTACTTCTATATAAAGCGTAAGCAATAATTATATGCTGACTGCAAGCCTATCCAATGTCACCCTTTCGATGTCATCTTCTCATTTTGCAATATTTCACTGCTATCATCGTCATGATCCATAACAAATTCATCAAAACTCATCAAGAATCAGTTCGAAGCGACGTGTATCATTCCGATAAGTTGAGCGATGTCCATCAAGAGTTGAACTGTTCACGAAATCTGCGTTACAGTGATAACAAAAGTAAGTTTATCAAGTGGCACTCTCACTAATTAAAAGCCCAAAGCTATTCACTCATGCATTACCGTTCATTTCACGCCTCCATAACCTCGCTATCACTTAATCCAAAACTCAACTAAATTAATAAATATTATATGGCATATATCAGTTCACATTTTAAAACACAACAGCAATATAACAATTACTGCATAACATATAATATGCATCAAACAGCCACATCTCACTTCATTTCAAACATATCGCCTTCCAGTGTCTCCTTCACATTATTCTAATTACCAGTTTCTCATTCCAGCTGCATTTCATTCAAGTACTAGGTACGGCAGAAACTTCTCGGGCAGTTAGACTCAAAAATTCCAACTTTATAACTCGGTTTACATTCTCATTTTCAATCAATTCAGTAAGTTCATTTAATTTCAGCTGTTGGGTAAATCAAGGAATCAATCGAAGACACACCAAAATGTCCCTTCTGATCAGTTTGCTGATATTCTCAAGCGTTATCCTTCTCAACTCGCTCGCAAGGTAAGTTTATATCTCACAGTCATCTTATCTTAACTATTATTAGTAATCATTGTTCAGTTCTTTTAATGCACTCCCATTATAGAAGTTCAACAAATACCCCTCCAAAGTACTCACTAAATTGAATGAAATACTTCTAAATCCTTCTCAAAGCCACTAATTACGCACTAATTGCAGTCCCTCAAGCAGCAATTATAAACGTAATTATGGCAACAGCATATCACAACCAACAACGCACAATAATCTCGAAAATAAATTCAACCAAATATCAAATCTCGATGTGAATCGCTCCAAACGACGTTTCGTTGTCAGAGTTCCATATATGAAAAATCCAGAGAAAAGTCAGCTGAACCGTATATATCGCTCGCAAATGCTACAAGCACAAAAGAATATCAATTCGTTTGGTGCATCTCTTATGCATTTATTATCGTGATTGATGATAAGCAGCACATCATTCTTCATCATCAATATTAACTCATATTTTATATCATTAAATATTCGCTATCAATGATCATGTAAAATAAACGGTTATCACACTAAAATATTATATTACGATCATTTATGATGATCATCATTCAAATCACATTTACCCATATAGGCAAATGCAGGAAAACTAAAGTGGCATCTTCAGCAGAGAAACGACTCCGTATCGCACTGCCCTCTGCAAATAGTACTGCTATAAGACAAACCTAAATGCAGCTGCACACTTAAAGAACTAATCGTGAGTTCAATTGAGAGCGATCAACCATTGATCAGTAAGTAATTGGATTAACTGATCAATTACAGAGAATGTAGATATAAAAATACGTGCACATCTTCAATAGTTTCATAATAAAAATTCAGAGTGATTCCCTGTGAGATCAATGAAAACAATACAAATGAGATGAACAATGAAATAAATACAGATATGTGATCAAAGCAACTACCATCCTGATTATTCGAACGAATTAAACTCAAAAAAAAAATCACTTAAAAACCGAATTGGTTAAACAGTGGACCAAATAGTAATTGAGATCTGAATGAAAAACTCGCAAAATGGCTCAAACTAATGACAACTGAATAAATATTTGAGTTGTTTTCTGATTTCGGTGTTGAATGTAAAGAAGACCATCGGTTGCACCGAATTACAAACAATCACAAAACAATTTTGTGTGATCGTAATCCAGATGGCTATGTTTGACGGCACTAAATCTGCGATCAGAGGCAATACATTGAATGCGATTATGCCGATTTCAAGCGCTGCACACGTGATTGCTGCTTGAATTATCAACTTTGTCTCGCGTCTATTGGCACGTCTGAAAATTTTCAGCACTCTTGCTTTTATTGAAGAAATCAATCTGAACATTTGTTGGCATTCATTCGGATTTCCATTCATTTTTCAAAAAAATTTTATAATCCCCAACATTCATACTGTTTGATCAAATAGAACGAATATCACTATTATTATGATCAAATACAAACTTTCTTTGTTCCATTTCGAAGGGATTACAGGTGGATTTAATGTTATTATTACGATTATTACTGCCGGTAATATCGGGTTTATTCTGTTGAGATAGCTGCCCATGAAGGGTATTATGTACCCGAGATACGCGCTTATTCACATAACTTATTGGATTTGGCACAGCAGTAGATAGTTTTGTTACTTTTGAGAGCAGCTGACCACCTGAAATCACTTTTAGGTTTAGTCATAATGAATGACTGATGCCTTGTATGGATGGATGGCTATGATCAAATCAACTCATCTTGATTATTAGTGGTCATATTTGAAGCAGCTGAATGAGCCATGACGCCTTCGCCAGTTGCAGTGCTATTCATATTAATATTGGTTCGTGTGAACGCAGAATGTGAAAAAGTCTTCAGTTTGACAAAAATGAACACATATATCAAAAACATTACCAATGGCAAGCCCAATGTCCATACGTATGCAAATCTTAAATATTCCGCTATCATTATGATTATTCATTTATCACTAGCACTAACATTCAGTTATCACGTACAAAATCAAACATAGAATACTTATTCAATAATTATTTCACTCGTCAAGAGCACATCAGAATTAACGTCAACTACAATCCTCAAAGTGGTTGATCTGCTACGATATTGGTTTGCACTAAAAAATGAATCCAAAAACAGAGAATAATCAATTCAGAACGTCAACGATGAATGATTATCACTATCAAGCATCACACCAATTAAATCCCTCAATATCTCAATATTCAAAGCTGTATCACCTTCGGTAAGCTCGTCCAGATTCGCCTGAGTTATTGCAGTCTTTGAATATATATAACCCATAATAATCCAAATTCTTTTGACACAAATAAATTCCAATTGCAGACAGACCTTAAATGGAGAGTTATTCCATTATACAACTTGCAATTTAGACGCACGTAAATAATACTACCTGCAGTCAAAATCCATGTGGCAGCGATAAGCTGATTCCTCAGCATTGGCGTTAATATGGCAGCACCGGTTTTGGTAGCGATAACAATATAGCAGTTGAATGCAATTAAAAATGTGAAATGAAGAATACCATAAAAGCCGACTGTATGTAGATTGATGAGCACATCGAAGAAAATACTGTCGATGTATGCTGAACGAGAATGGTTAGTTGCACTGCACAAAACATTTCAATAAAAGCTAGTACCCTCGATCTGCTCATCCAAATCCACATCCATGAAGAAAACAGGAATGACGACGCAAATCTGCGATGCACAGATCAAGAAATCGCAGATGATCAACTGATAAGCGAGTGTGTAGAAGTAAATGCCCTTGAAGTGCTTACGTCCCGTCATCAGTACCACTATCAGCAGCACATTACTCATCAGACATATGAACGTCAATACGGCAAAGATCGTTCCGCCCGTTATCTCTATCACTGAGCCATTCCCTGCGCCTATCATGCTGTCAGTAGATCCTGAAAGCAATCCTAGCAAATGCTTCTCATATCATCGAACAAGTAGCACACTGTTATGTATGGTATAGATAAAAGCGCTTAGCATGCGATTTGTATGAAAATGTTAATAAAACATTTTGCAAATAAATTGTTGAAGTGTCTGATGCGTTTTGCTAACTTTTTTCTGTTTTCGATCATTCACTGGCGTATTTTAGTTGGACTCGAAATGGATTGGAACGAAACTCAAACAATGGAAAATAGTGTGAGAAATGCATGCAAGTACAGATAGAAATAAAGAGATAGAATGAAGAAATCTCATTAAGATGAAACAATAGATAAAAATTTGAAAGCATAAAGAAGGGTCTAAGAAAGGGGCTGAATGGCTCATGTGTTACAATGGAGACTGTTTGTGAGAGGAATAAATGGAAAAAGATGCCGTATTTGAACAGTGACGATAATCAGCCTGGATAATGGTGTGTTGTGAGCAATGGGTTTGATGAGAAGATTGAAACGATGTTAAGTGTACATTCATAAATGGTGAAATATGCGGAAATACAAAACAAAATCACGAACGAATCAAATCAAAGAAACTACTACGGATAGAGTCACGCGGTCAACAAACAAAAGACGAATGAATACAAAAGTTTGTATTTGCACATGCGAATCTATCCGACTTGTGAAACACGGAAAGCACAATGATGAGACAGTAATAACAAGATAATGAACGTGGATGTTTTTCAAAAGGTGCAACAGAAATACAAGTGTTATGAAACAATTAGGATCTAAGCGATCATATTCATGATCACTTGCACATGCAACCATATTCAATTACGAAATATGCATTAACTTAATGTAATAGATATCATTATCATGCGTTTAATTTCCACCTCCTCTCATCGTCCTACTCGCCCCCCCCCCAAAAAAAAAACAGTCCTCTATCGATCGGTTATGAAACAGTCATTCGCCATTATTTAATCTTCGTTCATAATTGATGCCATAGCAAGCAAGCCATTCATTTCTATAGCACCAACAACAACTACAAAATCATCCCATTTTTTGTCGCCTTCAGAAAGCAACTCTCCCAAAGGTAATTTACCACCCATGGGGAATAAGCACAAGGGTGATTGCTACAATCCAGAGTACAATTAGAAACCAAATGAGAACACTTGCTCAGCTCGCTTTGTATGACAACAAAGCTTATTGACGACGTTCAGATAAAGTTAATTTATCCATCTTCAAATACTTTCTCCTCTCTTCTGTAAAATAATTAAGCGATAACCATGAGTAATATTTAACAAAATAAGATTCGCATAAAGACTTTGCTGATTAAATGATATGAATTGAAATAGAATGTGATAAAGGAGATGATATATAAAGTTGACAGATATAAGATCTTATGCATCTTATAAGAAGATAATGTGATAAAGATATATAAGATATATATTAGAATGAAATGATATAAGAATGCTTCATAAAAAGATTTACTTGCATAGATAGTCGTTTTGATTATTTATAAAATTAAAATTCGAATGAGATAAATGAGATGCAATGTAATAAAATTTAAATATTCTAATATGACTTGATTAATATAACATGGTCATCAATTTTATTATTATTCCTATGATAGTATAATGATAAAAGGCATTCACCTATCCGTTAATATTACTATCAAATAATCCGAGTGTTAATCAACTATAATCGTATCAATATAATGCAGTTGACAAAACAATTGTCACGGGATGAGTTATGCATGAACGCGAGGATATTGTAAAACAATACGTGATCTTAAGGCATTTATTGTCTCGAATGATTGTAAATATGAGATACAATAACAACACACAGCTGATATAACTGATGGTTATAGATAATAGCTGAGAACGATCATGAGATTCATTTAACTGATTGCATTTTCCGAATATTATAATTACTATGAAAGGAAGTGGATTAGGGATGTCAACTGAATAGGTTGGATAAATCAAGAATACGAATCGAAAGTTCATTGCGTGATGTTTTAATTCACTTGGACAATAGAACGAGAATACGATAAACGTTAGGCAAACAATAAGGATTGTTTATGTGACACGAAAACACGGCTAAATTGTGATAAAACGATACCGTACTTGACAAATATCAATACTCAGCGAATCAAGTTGTCCGTGTAGCGAAAGGATATTTATGAACGACTAAGGCTCAATATAAACGAACACCGAACACCAAACACATCCAACATCCACCCCATTACCAAACAACCAATAACCATCATCATCTATTTCAACAATCCAAAAACCAATACAAATCGTTATAACTTGATATTTTTTACTGAATGATCATTGAAACATACACCATTGAAACAATACATCATAAGCTGTATCGTCATAATGAATATAATAAAAAAAAATTGATCAAAAGAAAAAGAATCAATCAAAGAATCAAACAGTAAAAAATCAGTCGAAAACTAGACGGACAACTTGGAAACAATTCAAATTCTCATGCATTCATAATGTGATATTTCTATTTCAAGGAATAGAACTGAGCAATTCCAAAAAAAAGAACAATATGAAAAAAAAAACAACTAAAGGACGGAACAAAACACAGTAGAATAGAAAAATCTGCCAAAAGTGTGAAACAAAAACATTACTGCGCGTTTATACGAAACTGATTCATCATCCTCCGTTTGAAAACATATCCATCCATCTGTCCAAATGTGTCGTTGATATGCACGAATCCAATAAGCACTGATTATAACCTCATGATTGCACTTCAATATTCATTCACATTTACATTCTTCCCTGTTTATTGCACTCGGAACACATCCATTAAATGTGCCACAGGTGAACTTAACTGATATTCAACAACTGAAAATATAACATGCGATAAAAAAATGCGTGATCAGGAACATTTTAGAACGGGACATAGCGTGCAGAAGTTGCTATTATTCACTACATAATAAAGCAATTTACCGCTGAAATATGAAAACAACTTGAAGTAAAAAGCAGCTGATTATACCATTTTCATTAAATAACTCATATTGCTGTTAATCTGCCAGAATATCTACTCGATAAGTGTTTATCTCAACTCGTTGCAGACAGATTCGACGTCGACTTCTCTTCTCCCAGTACAATACCTAATTAAATTTCACGATTGCCGCAAGTCAACCCTCATAAATATTCATAGAATAAATAATGAAGATCAAATTAGTATTTTGTGAAGTTATTGGATGTGAAAAACAGTGAAAATTAGTATGAAAATACTTTACTGAACATTTGATATCGATAAGACAGTAAGTAATATCAAAACAACAATTAATAAATAAACAAACAAAAAAAGAATATGCCCTGAAAGTGTGAAAGAAATCGAGATAATGAGCTGCAGTGTGCCATCAATGTTATTCGAGCATTACCAAAGTACTGTTCAACTCTACGTTCAAATCACTCTAATTCCTAATCTCGAGAATACGCCTGATAACTCTCGTGAACGTCTCCCCTCCCACCTTTCAAAAATAATCTATCTGTCAGTAAACGAACCACTTCTTCAACCAACTAACTATCACACTAATTCAATTCTTGCATAAGCACCAATTCTTCACAAGATTGAATTGAACAAAACCTATCGTTCAGCATGTTTTTTCGTCGTTGAACAATACGAACTAAAAGCAAATACGATAACAATAACAAGAGCACAGCATCAAAAACAGTAATTAACACGTAACAATACGAACAATAACAATATCAGATGATAATCTCGATAAATTCATCCGTTCACTTATTTCACCACTGGCATTCCCTATCGAATCGCTGCCTTATTCCTCATCACACGAACAAACACATCCATCATTCGTATAACCTTAACAAAAATACCAATAATCAAGCAACTACATCAAAAATCTTCATACCACTTACTCATAAACCATCAACTTTATCCACTCTCTAATTCACCCAGTATCCTCTGAAACTGCACCTAACCACTAGTCCAATGACAAAATCAAACATCCAACGCAACGAATACCAGTCGAATCACAAACTCAACTCCTCAAACCTTAATTAAACTCAATCAATCCCAACTCAGATCACCCCCAATTTCTACTCAAATAATCCAAACTCCTTTACAATCCCCTCATAATCGAATCCATCTACAAAAATCCAATAGGCATCACTCATCAAACCATATCACATCAATGCTCACCCAAACCCCTACATCCCAATATAACCCTCATTAATCATCATCACCATTATTATTTCTATCTTACTAACTCCATCACCATACATACAAACATCTATAATTAATTCTTACATTCCACTTACATCACGATTCCAATAAATTATTACAACAACCTCTTAAGCTTAACTATCAACTCATGCATGCTAAAATAAGCAGCACTTGACTCGAAACAGACTGAATATTACATAGCAATAAAAATAAGGATGAAAGAGTACAGATGAATCAAATATTCATTAACAAGAATGCCGTATCTGCGAAGTATTAACCGCATTAAGTTCAACATTGACAGATCAGATCAGACGTATACATCCAAGCGCACTCACACACCAAGTTCGATTAAATAACACGCGATCAAATATCAAAAACACTCAATCATTTACGAATCAGTTCCGAAAACAAACAAGACAATCAACAATGAATATGAATCAAAACGTGTTGTTGACAACTATTATACAAATTGTAATCAACAAACAATAAAACATAATTGTTGAGGTATTGTTATCAATAATATGAATTGTGATTATTCATATTAACTGATAGATATTTATAATTATGACATACAATCAGAATTTGAATATCTCGCAGTTATTTAAAATATTAAGAATTTACCCGAAAAGTCATAAAACAAAATCAATCAGCCAACTTAAATAAAACATTCAAAATCAATGTAACGTTGAATCAAATGACGCACAATCAATCAATCGATCAGCTATAATCAAATTTACATTAACAACTCACTTTTTTCATAAACTCAAAGGCCTGATTCGATTATTTACAATACTTCTTCCAATGCACAATCGACTTACTTCTAATTCAATTGCCGAACATCCACTCGCTCAATATAAAAATAACAGACCACATTCAAAAATAGTTACAGAAATTCATGAATTCATCATCACTTCTTAAAATGTACAACTTGAATGATCAATGAACAAGCAAAGGTATAGGTATGGGCTTGTATATAGGCATGAACGAGATCGAAACAGAGCAACGTATAACAATAATTGTACATTCATTTTCTACTGATTGCAAATTATTTGCTGAATTGCAAACACAACAACGCAAATTAATCAATCAATCTGGTAAACAAAACTAACTTCGAAATCATCAAAGTAGAGTTCAATAAAAATAACCAATCCACAGTCACATTATAACGCAGTCATAATGCAGTGCAATGTGTTTGTTGGTTGTTGTTGTACTTTTCAAATGAGGTGAATTGAATTCGTTGATATGATAAGTTAGTCGTTGATATCATCAGAATACTGTTATTTGATTGCGTTTCGCAAATTCGATGCTTTCTTACTCAACGAAGATGCACTACAATTTGCTGTTGTTAAATGCACGTTCGTGTGTTGTTGTTGTTGGCTAAAGAATGCATCGTTCAAAAGTCGTTTCTTTTCACTCATACACATCACCTTGGTGGGCGGCTGAAATTTCATTTTGTCACTCATTAATTTCATTGTCGTGATCGAGTATCGTTATTATTTGCAATTAATAACCTTTGAGCACATTTACACAATTAAATTATTCGAAGTATAAAGTGATCATGAATCAACGCTATCCACCGCATTACCTTCTGCTTAAAAGTTGCAATTTCAAAATGCAACACTCGTCTCCTTTTGCGATACTGCGCACCTCCTCGTTTCTCCTGATCCCTGACCACCAAGCAACCATTGGTCACCCTCTCGTACTCCCTCAATCTCATCACTAACCACTCATCCGTCGCACTATCCAAAAAATCACGATCTTCACCTGAATTGTATTCATCACAACAATTATATTCATTACAATATTCATTATATTCATCGCAAAAGATAATCCAGTAAGTACAACTAACAAGGTGGATAATACGGCACTGGTGTCCATTGATAACACGACTTCAGTTTCGATGTATCGTTCTCTTCCGAGTTTGATCGTTTCTCTGCAATTTGATCAATGAATATTTATAATAATAATAAAACTAATAGTGATAATAATAAAAATACCTTTACTTTTTTCATGTCCCGACCTCAAATGGTCCTCCAAAGCACGTTTCAAAGTGAACCTCAATGAACACCCCTCGATTAAGCACCTATAGGGTTGAGCTCGTCCAGCGTGACGTGTCGTGAAATGATCTTCTAGCCATATAAACTTAAATTATAATACCCGATTAGCGGCAATATGACCAAACAGCTTTCGCTACTTTTTCATAGGGCAACTAGTAACGGATTACTTTTAGTGAAACAAACTTGTACTTTAGCGAATTAGCGATTAACGCAGCTAATTTTTTTCAGAAGCGTGCCTATCGCTGAATAATGTAACAAAAAATTACTTGTTTCTTTAAATCTCCCCTGCTCATAACCATCGTACAATTACCCCATTTACATGGTAATGTCTTCATTCGAATTCTCTGAGAGCACTTCCCTCTTGAGTTCGGACTTAAGCAATCCCGCGGTCGTAATATTTCCAGGTGGTTCTAAATATTAAATGAAATTAACAGTAATAATAATAATAATAATGACAACAAATAATGACAAATAAATGACAACAAATAATGACAAGTAACAAAAATGACAACAAATAGTGGCAAATAAAAAGGTAAGGAATAACACACCTTAATAACATGATCATACAAATCATTATCACACTTGAAGCGTTCCATGCACCGATCCCAATGACACAACGATAACAGTTCACTGCTACTGTTATCACTAACATTATTAGTATTCAACGATATCAACGAAGAAGATGAAGAGGCTATTGATGCACACTTCAACACACAGCCATTCGGTTCTTCTGATAACTTTAATCCACTTTCTTTTATTTCGTTCGAGACTTTTATATCATCCATTTCATTGTTTATCAGCTTATCATCATTATTATTATCAGGCTTATCATCGCTCTTCGTACTGATAATATCATTATCACATTTGAAGTCAACAGTGATAAGTGAGTTATCATCATGGTTATCAACTGATGATGAGGATGGCACTTGGTGCTGGGGATAGTCTTGTGATTTGCTCGGAGATGAGGTATTTGCGGTTAAGTATGACGGTTGCGGTAATTCTGATGATAACAAGGAAGATTCTGAAGATGGTGATTTGGATGGCAGTGATATCGGAGATTCTAATGGTAGTGTTAAGGTGTCGGAAGGCAGTGACAATTGAGATTCGGAAGGGAGCGATGAAGACAAACACGAGTCTTCATCTGTTATGATATCGGTACGAGTGCTACTAAGTGACGAGTGCTTGACATCAAGAGATATGCATTTGGCTGATGAAGGTAACTGAGGATGATGGGTAGTGGCCAGGATAGATGTGTCATTGGATGAGTCTGGAGAGGAGGGGAACGATGACGACTCGAATCCCGAATCAACACTCATCGGTGACGTTCGACCCGACCGCAAAACACTCTTCGAGACGCGGCAGGATGCTGCGATCACTGCCAACATCTGCAAAGTTATCACTTAACGAACACGATCAGCTCAACCACTCAACAACCAATATTACCTTTACAAAGCGGAATACATCTCAACAATCATTTCATCTCCTTATACCATCAACAACAATAATAATCTTTCAGCAATATATGACAAATGTCTATTTGATGTCCTTATTTACTCTTCAATTATATTTTCTAATCCACTAAAGAACTACGTCTCCTTTGCAGACATAAATTTGGACTTACCGCAAAGTAATCAAGCTACAAATATCAATCAAATCAATCATTACCGCGAGAAATACCCCTTACCTCTCCCGTCAACACACAAATTTCAGTTAAAAAATCCACTGATATACCAACGATCAATTGAACCACTCAGCCGTACAATACCAATAAAAATATCAAATGAATAAACAGGACAAACGAATGGTCAATGCAAAAAGATCACAATAAGAACGTATTCATCAATCAATCCTATCAATATCCAAAAAACAACAACACCGAATCAACAACATTCTATGCGAACATCAAAGCAACCTCCAGCAATTATATCAATCATTATGTATACGATTATGTCACATCTCTTCTCATTCATCACTGCATTTATCACTTACTTTCTCTT